GGTGCCCTGGCCCACGCCTTCTTCCCCCGGCGAGGAGAAGCCCACTTTGACAGCGCCGAGCGCTGGTCCCTGCACAGCGGCAAGGGCCGCAACCTCTTCATCGTGGTGGCCCACGAGGTGGGGCACACGCTGGGGCTGCAGCACTCGCCCGTCAAGAGCGCCCTCATGTCCCCCTACTACAAGAAGCTCAGCAAGGATTTTGTCCTCAGCTGGGATGACATCTTGGCCATCCAGAATTTGTACGGTGAGCCTGGTTTCCCTGGGTATCCCTGCATTTCTCCAGGGTGGTTCTCTGGGGTGGGGAGGGAGCAGCAGGGATGGGAGCAGGGAGAGGACTGCACTCACATGGGCCCCGTTCCTGTGTGTGGAGGGGAGGAAATGCAGGAGAGGTGGGACAGTGCCAGGGCCTCCGGGCAGGGAAGGTTGGATTTGCTGCCTGCTTGTCTGCTGGTGCATGTTTTTTGGGGTGCCAAGGGATTTTTGCCACCATCATGTAGAGTGGGATAGGAGCCAGACATTGGGACTAGGAGTCTTTGGAGTCTTGGGAGTCCCAGCCCTGAGCTTTGGGAAAGGTTGTTTCTCTGTCCCTTCTCCAGACTCATCACCCCTTGTTCCATCCCAGGAAAGCCCTCCAAGGGCTCGGCCGTCCAGCTCCCAGGAAAGGTCTTCACTCACTTCCAGGACTGGAACACGGACCTTTACGGCAAGGACCGAGAGCAGAGGAGCCTCAGCACCTATTACTGCCACTCCTTCTTCGACGCCATAACCGCCGGTGGGTGCTGGCCACTGTGACCCCCTCCCCAAACGTGCACCCCTAGCCCTTGTCCCAGTGCTGCTGCAGCTCCAGGGGAGGGAAAGGTGGGTGTGACTGGTCCGCAGCTCCTGGCACTGCTGGCATCACTGATGCAAGTGCACCTTGAGGGCACAGCAATGTGCCAGGAGCAGGGGAAACACCCTAAAACTTGGGCCATGGCAAGGATTGATCACTGCAGGAGCTCAGCTGTGCAAGATGAGCCTTGAACCGTGCCCAGCATTTATCCTCTCATGCCTGGAGGGCAGCAATGGGTTCTGGAAGCTGAGGGGGTGGCTGGAAGGGCACGAGGAAGCATCCCAACCCCAAAGCACCAGGGGGCTGCACGGGGAGGAGAGGGGGGCTGGGTAGCAGTGGAGGGTGGCTCAATAACATTCCTCACCTGGGGCACCCTCCCTCTGCCTCACAGACGGGGATTACAACCTCTACATCTTCAAGGGCAGCCACTACTGGGTGGTGTCACCCAGTGGCAATGCCAGTGACCCGCAGCCACTGCAGCCACGCTGGCCCGGCCTCCCTGCTGGCATCGACGCCTGCGCCTGGTCCCAGCTCACTGGGAAGTTCTACTTCTTCAAAGGTGGGTGAGGCCTGGCAGGGGACTCCCCTCGGGGCTGCCACTGCTCCTGCCAGAGTGGCTGTGCAGGTCTGGCTGGAGCCACACCACTCCTGTTCGTGTCCCCTCCCGCTGGTCCCCTCGCAGCGCAGAGCTGGGGCATTGCTGTGTCCTGGGTGTGCAAACCCTGGGCTCGGTGCCCTGTCGTGGGTGAACCACATGGCTCTGGCAGCCACATCACCTCCTCGTGCCTCAGTTTCCCCATCAGCATTGTCAAAGCAAATCCAGGCGCAGTGGTGGGTCTTGGGGAGAACCTGCTCCCCAAAACACGAGGTGCAGGGAGGTGCAGGGGGGTTTCGTGGTGCACATGGATCCCTGTGCTGTGCCTGGAGGCTGAGCTGCCCCGGGAGCTGGAATACCATCCATGAGCTGCCCCAGGAGTGGGATACCATCCCTGAGCTGCCCAGCAGCCAGTTGGGGACAGGAAGGTCAGGCCAGGCAGCCTGGCTGCCAGGGTCAGCCCCAGCTTTTAATGGCAAGCAGTGCCTGGTGGCTCAGAAAAGGAGCTTTGTGCTGCAGCTGGCTGAGAGCCAGAGCCCCTCTGCCTCCCCAGCCCTCTCCACTCCCTCCGTCCTCCCCAGGGTGCGTCAGGCTGCGCCTTGTGAGCAGAAAGGGGCTTTTGTCTGCGCTGCTGTGGGGACAGGGTGCTGTGGGGACAGCCAAGCCCCCGGTCCCCATGGCAGTTCTGGTTTTGGATGCCCCAGCCTCGGCTGGGTCTGTTTCTGTCTGTCCCATTCGCTGTGCAGGGTCAGGGGGGAGGTTTGCCAGAAGCAGCACGGTGGTGGCCTTGCTCTGTCCCTGGAGGTCCCTTTCCATGCCTCCAACCCCCTGAGCTGCCGTGCCTCAGTTTCCCCCAGCCTGGTCCTCGGGGCAGTGGTTCCGGTGGGGTCACCAGCGGGACGGATACCACTGACCCTTCACAAAGCCTTGTGGCCGAGCGTGTCCCCATCTCCTGGATCTCACCCTGCGGGGTCCCACATGCCCTAACCCCTCTCCCCGCAGGCGGCCGCTGCTGGCGCTACGCGGGCTCCGCGCTGGAGGCAGGATTCCCCCAAAAGTGCAGCGCCCTGGGGCTGCCCCGGCACCCCGACACCGCGCTCTACTTCCCGCAGCTCCGCCGCCTCGTCCTCTTCAAGGGCCCCAAGTACTTCGTGGTGGGCGAGGAGCCGCTGGGGCTGGAGCCCTACTACCCCCGCGGCCTGCGGGACTGGGCCGGGCTGCCCGCGGGCACGGCCGGGGCGCTCGCCCACCGCGACCGGGCCGCCTACTTCTTCCGGGATGACCGCTACTGGAAGTTCGACCAGGATAAGCTGCAGGTGGTGGCCACGGGCAAGTGGGCCACGCAGCTGGCCTGGATGGGCTGCTGGGACGCCAACAGCGAGCAGGTGCTGCTCTGAGCGCAGTGGGATGGGGTGAGACGGGGCTCTGCATCCCCTGGTGTGACTCTGGGTGCCTGCGGGATGCTCGGGCAGGGACTGGGTGTCTCTTGGAGCCGTGGGATGGTGGAGCAGCCACCCAGCAGAGCTGGGATGCGGCTGGGACAGGCGTGGCACAGCCAGGCGGCTGCAGCCTTCGGGACAGTGTTTTTTATAGGAGAGCACAGAAAAATGTATCAGCCACGGAGGCTGCACACACACCCACTTCTGTTTACTTTCAGGTATTGTTACACGTTTTTCAAGCCAGGACTGGGGTTTGGTGATACTTTTTGATATCTTTGCTGATACTTGTTGATATCTGTCATTTTCCCACCATCAGGCAGAAGTGTCTCGCTGCTGCTTGCTTTGGGGTGTGGATGGTTTTCAATAACAGACTGACAACGTCTCCTGCTTGAAACCAAAAGAAAGGAGACATTTGGACAAAGATTTGGGTCGATGTGGAGCTTTGCCCCTGCTGTTTGCTCAGACCCCGGGGTATGGAGGGTTGGGGATGCTTTGCTGGGCTCTGCTCACACCCCAGTGCTCTGCTGAGGCAGCTGGAGACACCACCACAGTGGGATTTTGGGCTGAAAGCAGCGGGGTTTGGTGTAGGAGCCTCTTTGGGTGGAGAGAAAGGGGGGGCTCAGCTGGGCTGCAGCTCACAGGCAGCAGGAGCATTGCCTTGGATGGGTTTGGGGTGCCTGGCTGGGGTCCCCTGTGTCTGGCAGCCCTCACTGGGTGCACAGAAGGTGCCAGTGCTCCTCTGCCTCTGCAAGGGACACGGGACCAGGGAATTCCTGACTCCCTGGGCCCCACCCGGATGAACGGGGGTGACAGATTACTGGGGGAGGAGGGGAAGAGGAGAGGGTGAGCAGGACAGAGGGACATGCCTGTGCATGCAGGCTCACGGGGACTGTGTGGCTGCACATTCCTCATTCCTTTCCCAAGGCTGACTCCCCACCTGGAAACGCCGCTGGCTCCTGGGCAGGGTCACCAGGTGTCTGCAAAGGGCCACCGTGTCCCAGGGCTGGGGACGGACCTCAGCTTCCCTGGGCTGGAATTCTGAGGCACCGGTGCTGAGCGAGACAGGGCTCAGCTTTATGGAATGATTTACTGGAACCGTTTGTGCAGTGTTTCTGCCAGGACTCAGAGCCCAGCACTGCTCTGGTCCTGCTGCACTGTCAGGGTGCTGGGCTGATGTCAGGGTGCCCTCCTGCTGCCAGCAGCTTCCAGGATTCCTCTTTCCCTCATCTTTGCCCTTTCCAGACCTTCCCAGCAGAGCGGGGCTTGCTCTAAGCAGGGTGCCAGGGCTGGTACTTCCCAAGGGCTTTTGGTGCCAGCTGAGCTGTGGGTTGGGCAGGACGGGGAGCCAGCACTCCTCCCATTCTCCGTAACTCCTGTGAGTGAGCCCTTCATGAGCAGACACAGACACAGGGTCTTCATCTGCCCAGAACCTCGGGGGACTTTCCACATTGCCAGAGAAACACACATTGTCACAGGAATTGAATGGCAATGAGGTGACGTGGCCTGCAGGGAGCCCCAAGGGCTTGGAGACCTGACAGCAAATAAAACCAACCTCTGGATATGTGGCATTGGGGTTTGTGCTTGTTTTCATGTCGCACTTTGGGGTTGGGTTGGCTTTTTTTAAGCAAATCTCCAGTTTCCTGACAGGGCTGTGTTTGAGATGCCTGTGGGTGTTTGGGGTTGGAGAGGGGATTGCTGAATGTGGCCTCAGCTTTCATGCTGGCATCAAAGAGGGGAGATGGATCCCACTGAAAACTCACTCATGGCGATGGAAACATGGAAATTCTCCTTCTTACTTCATCCCCACATTACTGAGGATTTTTCCACACTTTGGGATGTGTTAATGGGTTTTTTGCCCAGGCTGAATCCATTCATTATCCCTTTTCCTGTCCCCTTAGCAGAAAGCCAGGCATCCCATCTGCTGTGTGACTGGAGGCTGAGGATGGGACCACCTCAAATCCTCTCCCCTTTTTGGGTTTTCCATCTCTTCCCTGGCTTGCTGCCATGTGTTTCCTGGGGCTGTGTCCCGTGGGATGTTTTGGGGCCCTGTGATGCTGCCAGGGCTGGGCTGAGCTCAGCACTGCTGGCAGGGGCAGCCGGGGTCACTCCACTGTGTCCCCTGCACCCCATCGGTCTGGGGGAGCTGAACTCACACCCTGAGCCTTTCAATCCACCCTCCGGGTGCCCTGGATGGAAATCCAGCTTCTCAAGGGTTCTTTTCTCCTGCTGGGCTCCCTGGCCGGGCACATCAGACTCAGACTCCTCCAGCCTGCCACACATTCCCCAAACAGAATAGCTGGGATTCCTGCATTCCCTCCCCCAAAATGACCCCGCTGGACACGGAGCTGCAGTGACATCAGCAGCTGGCTCCAGGGACAGGACCGGTCCCCACCTCAGCCCACAGGGAGCCCCACAAAGCCCAGGAGAGGCTCTGTTTTGGCCCCAGGAATGAACACTTCCCTGGTGGATTTGTTTTTTGCAGAAGTACCTGGGTGCTGGGGCAGCTCTGCAAGGCCTGGCTTAGGGAGGGAGCATCCCACATTCCCAGGGGTGCCCACTCATGTGCAGCTCTTTCCTTAAAGCCCCAACTCCTGCAGTCACTCCATCCCTGCAGGAGCTTGGCTTTTCCCAAAGACCTCGCTGCCGTGGGCAGTGAGGGAAGGAGTTCGGAAAGGAGCAGAGAGCAGAGCAAGCCCAAAGGTGGGTGTGAAAATAAACCCTCCTCAGCCTGAGGCTGCCCTGAGGATGCACCTTGTGACCCTCAGGTCACCTCACCTGTGGTGGAGGTGGGTGTAGGGGTTTTGGGAAGGGGGACAATCCCCCTGGTGTGCTTGGGAGCCACCTGGGTGCTGAGGAGCTGCTCTCTGACTCCTTCCTGCCCCGGGGCCAGGGCCCGTGGGGGGCAAACCCACCCCTGGCATGGCTGGGGAGGAGCAGGGCTGGGAGAGAGGAGCAGCTGCTGAAGGGTTAACAGGGAGTGTTTGCAGCCAGTCCCTTGTCACCAAGGAGAAGCGATCAGCACTTGGGAAGGAAACAAAACACCCTCTGCCCAGGAGGGAGATTTCCTCTCCCCAGCAGCCCTGGGACCCCAGCAGGGCTCTGGGCACCCGCAGGACACTGCCACCACCCCTGTGGCAGGGAGCAGGTGGCACCAGGTGAGTGTGGCTGCCGGGAGGTGCGCTGGGGACAGGGCTGGGGCAGCTCCCCGTGTCCCCATCACCCTTTTCCCTCCTCCCAGTCTTATGGCAGAATGTGGGGGACAGCGGGCTCGGGGGCACGGAGCATCCGTCCCTACCAGTCCAGCGGGCAGTACCTGTACGCCATGAAGGAGGACCTGGCAGAGTGGCTGAAGGAGCTCTACGACCTTGACATCGAGGTGGGCACCTTCCTGGAGGTGCTGGAGACGGGGGCTGTGCTGTGCTCCCACGCCAACCACGTCACCCAGGTGGCCGCGGAGTTCGCCCGTGCCTGCCCCGAGGTGGCCCAGCGCCTCCACCTGCCCACGGCCGGCGTCCCCTGCAACCTCTCAGCACAGCCAGGCACCTTCCAGGCCAGGGACAACGTCTCCAACTTCATCCAGTGGTGCAGGAAGGAGATGGATATCAAAGGTAGGGTGCCAGGCTCCAGCTGTGCCATGTCTCTGTGCTCAAGTCCCCTCCGTGTGTCCCCAAACCCAGCGCATGGGACAGCACTGTGTGCCAGCATCCCTGAGCTGGCATCCCCTGTACAGGGTCCTCCAGGCTTGGCAGAGCTTTGCAGGGTGCTGGCACCACTGCTTTTGGGTGCAAATATGCACAGGAGGAATGGCAAAGGAAGGGGTGGATGGCACAGTGTGTCCCTGCCAGGCACAGCACGATCCCAGCCCTAAGGACAGCAGGAGAAGTCCTGGCTCTGAGCAGAGCATCTGCCACCCTGTCCTGCCACCATGGATGCCCGGGAAGGGGAGTGGCACAGAGCATGACATCCTCAGGGCTCTCAGACACTGTTTTGTGGCTTTGGGATGCCATGAATCAGCTGTAGGTGCCCAAAAGGAAAGGCTCTTCCTCCTTTATCACTTACCCCAGCTCCTGCTGAACCCAGCCGTATTCCTGCTGGGATGGCTCCAGTGAAGAGCACCCTTCGGGTGGTTTTGCCTCCATCTGTGTCCCCATGCTGCTTGTCCCCATCCCCTCGTGCCAGCCCTGGCTCAGCCCTGCCCTGCCCTGCCCAGATGTCCTGATGTTCGAGACAGAGGACCTGGTGCTGAGGAAGAACGAGAAGAACTTCGTGCTGTGCCTGCTGGAGCTGGCACGCCACGCTTCCCGCTTCGGGATGCGCGCCCCGACCCTGGTGCAGATGGAGGAGGAGATCGAGGAGGAGCTTCGGCAGGAGCTGGACCTGCCTCCCCCAGAGCCCGCCCTGCCCCGGGCCCCCAGGAGAGCACGGGGCCTCAACAACCTCGACCAGATGGTACCGGGGGCACGGGGGCGTGGAGAGGGCTTGGGGATGGATTGGATGGGGATGGGCATGGGTTGGATGGAGATGGAGGTGGATTGGATGGAGATGGATGGGCATGGAGATGGATGGGGGTGGGGATGGGGATGGAAGTGGATGGGGATGGGGATGGATGGGGGTGGAGATGGATGGGGAAGGGGGTAGGGATGGAGATGGACAGGGATGGACATGGAGGTGGGTGGGGATGGAGATGGGCATGGGGATGGATGGGGTTGGATGGGGCAGGCATGGAGGTGGATTGGATGGGGATGGGAATGGATGAGGATGGGGATGGAGGTGGATAGGGATGGGGATGGATTGGATGGATTGGATGAGGATGGGGATGGATGGGGATGGGCATGGAGATGGATTGGATGGGCATGGATGGGGTGGGCATGGAGATGGATGGGCATGGAGATGGGGATGGAGATGGGGATGGAGATGGATGGGGATGGGGATGGGGATGGGGATGGGCATGGAGATGGATTGGATGGGCATAGGCATGGATGGGGATGGGCATGGAGATGGATGAGGGTGGGGATGGAGATGGAGATAGATTGTATAGGGATGGGGATAGATGGGGATGGGGATGGATTGGATGGGCATGGAGATGGATGGGGATGGACATGGAGGTGGATGGGGATGGAAATGGGTATGGGAATGGATTGGATGGAGATGGATGGGGATGGAGATGGAGATGGAGATGGATTGGATGGGGATGGATGGGGTGGAGATGGATTGGATGGAGAGGAATGGGCATGGAGATGGATGGGGATGGCATGGAGACGGATGGGGATGGAGATGGGCATGGGGATGGATTGGATGGGCATGGGGATGGGCATGGGGATGGATTGGATGGGCATGGGGATGGATTGGATGGGCATGGAGATGGATGAGGGTGGGCATGGCCACCCCAGGACCTTTCCCAGCAGCCCTGGTGAGGACCCACCCCTGCCACCCGCAGGTGCAGCACCTGGTGAGCCGCTGTACCTGCCCTGTGCAGTTCCCCATGGTCAAGATCTCCGAAGGCAAATACCGAGTGGGGGACTCTGACACCCTCATCTTCGTCCGGGTGAGTCTGCTTCACCCCTGCTTTTAGGGGAAAAGCAGCAGGAATTCTGCTCTGCTGCCATGACCCCTTTTCCACAATCCCCCAAAAGAGGCCCCTGTGGGAGTTCTGATCATTATTCCCAAAGCAGGGCAGCAGGGCAGCTCAGCCCTGTGATAGATTTGGTGTGGATTTAAGCATCCATGTGTGTGGGACAAAACCTGACATCCCCCAGAGCCACAGCCTGCTCTCACCCAGCAGTGGGAGCACTGGGATGCTCTGAATCCACCCCAAACCAGGCCAAAGAACTCAGCACAGGACGAAGGGATTTTCCAAAAGGGTCCCTCACCCTCCTTCTGGTGACAAAATGAACCTGTCGGGATGGCCGCAGGAGCTGGGCCAGGGACGCAGCCGTCCTTTGGGACACCTGGTGGCACTTAGGGCCAGCCACAGCCCTGGCAGCCCGGCCGAGCGTGCCACCCCCAGGCGCTGCTGTCCCCTGGCAAGGACATTCCCGCGCAGATCCTGCGGGAGCACGTCATGGTGCGGGTCGGGGGCGGCTGGGACACGCTGGAGCACTACCTGGACAAGCACGACCCGTGTCGCTGCACCTCGCTCTGTGAGTCCCCGCGTCCCCAAACCCCGCGGCTGCCTGAGGGTGAGGGGGTCCCTGGCTGGTCTCCATGCTTCTCGGGGATGTTTTCATTAGCGGGAGGCTTTGCTACGGCCATGCTTCGGTGTTTTGCCGGGGAATGTCGGGTTTTGGGGACTTTCTTTGGCTTTGGTGGCCACTAGAGGTCATGGAAGACTTTTGGATGGTGCCGGACCCCAAAAGCCGCTTTGCAGCTTTCTGCCGGCACCCGCGGGGGGCTGGATGCTGAGCCAGGCTGGGTGGGCTTCCCCGCGGGTGGGTGAAGGGAACAGGGCTGCCGAGCCCCCCTCGTTGTCCCCACAGCTCACAAGCAAGCCTGGAAAGCCCGGAGCCCGCAGCAGCAAGTGCAGCACGAGGTGCGGCTGTACCCGGGCGCCCGCCCCCAGCCCGCGCTGCTGGTCAGCCGCTCCCAGAGCCCCCTGCCCCCCGTCTCCTGGGGGGCCCGGTGCCCTGCCACCCCCTCAACAGAGGGCTCGGCTCGCCAGCCGGGTGCCAGCCCTCACCCGGAGCCCCGGAGGGTCCCTTCGTGCAGGTGAGTGCAGAGATGCTCCGTGCCCCGAGCTGCCTGGCTTCAGAGCAGCTTTTGGAGCATCCTTGGAATTTTCTCCCCCTCCCTTCTGGACGTGCCCGGCGCCAGGCGGGGCGGGGGGGCTGCAGCAGCTCCCTGGCCCCTCTCCGCTGTCTGTCCCTGCAGGATGCGGGAGCCCCGCGCTGTCCCTGCGGGGAGGCAGCCGCCACCACCCCGCTCACCGGCCCGGTGCAGCTCCCCTGGGCACGGGCCGAGGGGCCGGGCAGCCCCCCCCTCCCGGCTGAGCCTCCCGAACGGCGCGGGGGCCCCCGGGGCACCGCAAGGGACCGGCCCGGGGGATTCCCGGAGCCCGGCGGCACCGGCGCGGGGCAGGCCCGCAGCACCCGGCCCGCGGCCGGCACCGGCACCTCCGAGAAGCACCCAGCAAGGGGGAAAGTCATCTGGGCTGGCTGCCCGGCCACTGGAAACGGGGACACCCAGCACAGCCACACCCCGCGCCCCCAGCCCCTTAAAGGCCCGTGCCCCCAGTCCCCTAAAGCTCTGCGCCCCCTCCTCGCACCGGGATGCTCCGGGAGACTCCCAGAGCCTGGAGACCCCACGGGAAGGGCAGCAGGGAGCCCTTGGCCGGGGCCGACAGCCCTCACCCCGAAATTCCTGCAGCCGACCCCCGAAACCGGACAGCAGCGTTAAACCCCCCCCCAAAGCCGGCCCGGCCGCCCCCCGGCCCCCCACCCCTCCGGGCCGCTCTGCAGGGCGGTGCAAGCTCTGTGCTGCTGGGGACGGTCCCCAGGGGAGCCGGCAGTGCCCCCCAGCCCCGAGCCCGGGGGCTGTGGCTGCTGAGGGACCTCGGCAGGCAGAGCATGAAGCCGGGGGAGCCTGTAGCCCTGGCGGTGGGGCCGGGGGGCTGCGGGGGTGCTGCGGGATCACGCAGCCCCCCGGCTATGGCAGGGTGCTGGAGGAGCTCTCCCGCGGGCCGCAGCCCCTGCGCCCTGCGGGGACGTGGAGCCAGGTCCCCAAGAGCCCCGCAGGAGCGGCCCCGCAGCTCCCGGCCCCGGGGGAGGCAGAGCGGCCGGGGCTGGGGGGCCAGACCCCGCGGGCCAAGCCCCGGCGCTGCCTCAAGAAGCCCGAGCGTGTGCCCTCCATCTACAAGCTGAAGCTGCGGCCCAAGGTGCGCCCCCGGCGGGACCACCGGCCGGGCAAGCGGCCCTCCCGCATCCCCACCCCGCTGGGGCATCGCCCCGCTGCCCCCCGGGGCCAGCACCGACCCCCGGCGCCCGCCCGAGCCCCCCCGGCCCCGCCGCCCCTGCCTGACAGCGGCACCTGGCTGACCGAGGATGATGAGGAGTCGTGGGTGTGAGCCCAGCCCGAGAGCCTGCGGGGACGGACGGACAGGCGGACAGACCCCTCCCTCCACAGGCGGGAGCGGGGCTGGAGCTGCAGCGCCCCAGGTGTCCCCGGGCAGCCCGGGGGGCTCAGCTGCACCTCCTCCTTCCCAATGGATTTTTCTGTACTGTAATCCTGCCAAGCAGGCGCTCTTGCCCTGGTTTGGGTGGAAAAACGCAGCCCCGAACTGGGAGAGTGGGGTGTTTTCTGCAGGAGGAAGGGTTTAGCCCCCCTGAAGAGGGGACAGCCCATCCTTGACATCCATAAAAACATCTCATACCAAAATGTTCCCCATCTGCACCACGGGACCAGCGAGCTCGTGTTGACAGCTCCAAGAGCTTCCATGAGTCACACGAGGGGACCTTTGCTGAGCCCTGTGGTGGCCGTGGTCCCCTCTGGGGTGCTGGCTGTCCCCGAGGGTCACTGCTGCACCCCGAGCCCCAGCAATGCTGTTTGTGCAATAGAGATGTGCCACAGCTCCTCTATTTCCACATCTTCTCTGTGTGGGTGAGGAGGGAGAGAGGAAAATCCTGATGTGGGCACAGCAAACGTCCCTCTGAGAACCCCACAATGCCCAGGAGAGTCTCCTTTTCCAGCACAGGATGAAGTCAGCCCCACTTCCCTGCAGAGGAGCTGCAAATGTGAGCGCTGGGAGTCGGGGAATGCAGAACCTGCCAGCAAAAACACTCCTGAGGCTGGTACAGAACAAGGGGGACAGACCTGATTTTTAATTCAATTTCAAAGAAGGAGGTGCAGGGCATCACAGGCTGTGCAGACACCTCGGGAATCTCCAACAAGGAGTCCAGGGGGGGAAGGGAAGCCAAGTCCAGGCAACTGGGATGCTCGGTGGGGCAGGAGGAGGAGGAGGGGGAGAGGGCAGCATCCTTGGTGGGGCCGAACCAAACCCAGGCACCACCTCCATGAGCACGGGGACAGAGCCCTGGCACTGCCCTGGGCACAGCAGCGGGGACACCCCCGGCTGTGCCAGCCCAGGCTGCTCTCAGCAGGACCAGGGGGTGCTGGGTGAGTGGTAAATCTGTGGTAAGGTGTGAGTAGGGCCGTGGGGTGCTCGTGGCTGCTGCCGTGTGCTCCAGCCCCTGCTCCTGGACACCTCGGATCCTCCTGCCTGGGTTCCCTGCCTGCACCCAGGGTGCCACCACCACCATCTACCCCTTCCTGGGCTCTTGGGAAAGTAGCTCTTTGTAGCCCTGGTTTGGTTTTCCCGGGAGCTGGGAAATGCTGTCGAAGCAGTGAGAGTTGTTATTATTACTAATATAACTTCCTCTGTCTATAAAGTACAATAGAATATAACAATTATATTTATAACCTTTTTTTTCTTTTTTTTTCTTCAAAATACTAAATAGATGCTATAAAAACCTGTAACTAATTGTGCTATAAACTGCAGGCTACAGGGTTATAACAAACAATGTATTGGCTTAGTCTTTGATATGTGTACGTCGGAGCACTTCATAAATGCTTTTTTATTAGCATTTACCAAGGAATTTCCTTCTCAGACAATTTGGAGGGATAAAGCTCTAGCCAGAGATCGATAAGTGGACTTACATGTGTTAATAAATCCTGACAGGATGAGCTTGGACAGGGGAGCCAGGTTTGCCATGAAGGCAGGGGAAGGTGACAAGTGCCACTGCCCTTCCTGGCTGAGATGGACCCGTGTCCCCCCATTGCCTTTCCTCATTTTTTCCCTTTTTAATTTTTTTTTTAATTTTTTTTTTTTTAATTTTGGAGCAAGGAGCTTGATTCCCCAGGCAGGGAGGGGGGAGCAGGATGCACCCCCAGCCCTGGCCCAGGGGTGGGATGGTCAGAGGCACTGGAGCTCAGCTGGAGCTGCCTTTGATGGGAAGCAATTCCAGGAGCACAGTGGAGCTGCTGGGCCGTGGGCGCCTGGCTGTGCTGGCAGGGGGGGCTGGGTGTCCTCTTTGCTGCCCAGAGCAGAGCTGAACCCCTCCAGCTCCCTGTGACAGCAGCAATCACGGAGATGGTTTTGCTGGAGGATGGATCAGACACAGATCCTGCCTCACGAGGTGAGGATGGTGTTTCCCTGTGTCTCACAGGGACCAGCCATGGAGAATCCACACTCCTCTCAGCCTCTTCACCACCCCATCATCATTTCCTAACAGGGGCTGCCCTTTGCCAACCCCCCCTGCAGGGCAGGATGCAGGCGAGCTGCAGCTCTGCTGCAAGCACAAACCAGAAGATTAAAAAATAATAATAATTTAAAAAAAAAATGGAGGGCTCACTTTCCTATTAGGGATATGCAGAAAAAAAAAGAAAACCACAAAAACCCAAGAATGCAGCTGCAAGTGCTGCTCCAGCTCCCTGTTGCTGCCGAGGCAGCATCCCTGTGGGGAAACCCGGCGGGGCCAGACCTGGTGGCACTGCCGGGGACACAGGGGACACAGGGGACACCCCGGGGGCTGGGGTGAAGCCCTGCAAAGCCTGTCACCTGCTGAGCCCAGGACCAGAGGTAGCAGAGGGGTGACCTGCCCGGCAAGGAGTGTTCCCAGATTATTTGGTGTTCAGGGGCTGGGGGAGGAGGAGCCTTCCTGTGCTGGGGCTGTGCTGGGGCAGAGGGGAGCTCAGAGCCCTGGGAAGGCAGAACCCACTCCTGGGGATATCAGGGGCAGGATTGGGACTTACTTTTTCCCCCTCTTTCTTGCTTTCATCCAAAAATTCCACCTGGAAGTCTGACCTGACCAAGCCAAGAGACAGCCCGTGTGACCTGGATTTCTCCACAGGGAGAAATCCCAGCTCCTCAGAGGGAAAACTCCTGTTTCCCTATTCCCCAGAGACAGAACCACCCCCAGAACACCGGGGTCCAGTGCTGGATAATTCCCTTCCAGGGGCAGGCGATGCAGGCAGGCAGCACCAGGCAGTGCCCCTGTGCTGCCAGGGCAGGGACTGGCAAGGGTGAACTGGCAGCCAAAATCTGGGCACACTCTGGGGGCACCCCAGAGGTGTCACCTCCTCCACCCTCCAGTGCCGTGTACAACCCCCCTGGGGTGGCTTTGGCCTCGAGCTCTGCAGCTTGGAGAGAGCTCAGGGACATCCCTCACTGTCCCCAGGCAGCCTGGCCACCCCCTGCACCACCCTGCCCAAGGTGCCCTGTCCCCAAATGCCACCTCAGCACCCCCGGAGGTGCCTCAGGCACAGCTCCCACTGCTTGGGGGGCAGAGCCATCCCCGGGTCTGGGCAGCCCAGGGCAGGAGCTCCCATGATGGGGCAGCAGAGCCATCCCCGGGTCTGGGCAGCCCAGGGCAGGAGCTCCCATGATGGGGCAGCAGAGCCATCCCCCGGGTCTGGGCAGCCCAGGAGCAGCAGCCCCAGCAGCCCGGGGCTCACATGAGGGTGCAGCAGAGCCATCCCCGGGTCTGGGCAGCCCAGGAGCAGCAGCCCCAGGGCAGGAGCTCACATGAGGGTGCAGCAGAGCCATCCCCGGGTCTGGGCAGCCCCAGCAGCCCCAGCAGCCCGGGGTCCGGGGCAGGCTCTCACATGATGGTGCAGCGGTTCCTGCGCAGCGCGCCCTGGAAGCGGATGGTGGTGTGGACGTGCTTGCAGCGGGCACAGCCCACGCTCTTGAGGAGCTCGCTGAAGAGCAGCAGGATGTGCCAGTTGTACTTGGCCGAGCACTCGATGTAGCCGCACTTCCACGTCTTTTTCACCAGGTTGGAGACGTTCCAGCGCGGGATCACCCGGCCCCGCTGCAGGTCGCGCTTGTTGCCCACGATGATGATGGGCGTCTCCGAGGTGCCGATGACCCTGGGGAGGGCGGGCGGTGAGGCAGGATGGCTGGGGACAGCCCACACAGCTCAACCCATCCCAAAGGGGCTCCTGGCTGTGGCTTGCCTTGTCCCCTTGTCCCTCTCTGTGTCCAGCCACCCCTCGTGCCACCTGCAGCTGCTCACCCACCTGCCTGGCACCTTAATGCACAATCAACAGCTGGAATTAAAGCCAGTTCCCAGCCAGGCCCCTCAAAGCTCTGCCAACCTTGACCCTGTTTTTTCTCTCTTGGAGTGAGAGGTGTGGATGTGGAGTGAAGGGTGCTGGATGTGCTGCTGGTGTGGAATCTTATAGAGAGCAGCCAGACCTGTTTTCCTGGGAATTCTGTCAGGAATGAGGCAGGAGCTGTGACCCTTTGCTCAGAGCCTTGGCTGGGCATTTTGCAGCTCATTTTTGGGGCTGGCAGCAAAGAATCCCCCAGCTCCACCCTGGGTTCAGAGCAGCCTGCCTGGGGTCCTGCTGCTCTCCTGGTTTTTGGGCTCCCATCCCTGCAAAGGGGCTCTGTGCCAGTCTGATATCCCATCTCTGATGCCAAGATGCACCCCCTTGGTGCTGAGCTGCCTCGCCAGGAGCCAGGGGCTCTGCCACGCTGGGCATGCAGCACCCCAAAGCCACCCCTCCCTACCTTGTTTCCAGGATCTGCTGGCGGATGGTTTTGATGTACTCGAAGCTGTCGAAGCAGCAGATGTCATAGACCAGGATGTAGGCATGGACACTCCGCAGCCCCCTGCAGCACACGTCTGCCCACTCCTGCAGGAGCACAGAGGGGTCAGCCCTGCCTCTGCTCTGTGGCTGCACAATCCCCCAGCCCCAGCACCCCCTCTGCTCTGCCCTGACCCGTCTGTGTGTCCCCCAGCCCTGCAGCCATCCCCAGCTCCAGAGACCCCTGATCCCCCCTGCCAGTGCAGGGGACACACAACGGGATTTGTCAGCCCCAGTTGCACCCCTGAGGGAGGATTGCAGCCTCATTGCAGCACAGAGCTGGGCTGGGAGTGGGGCTGGATGCAGCCCCCTGCTCTGGGTGAAAGAGTTTCCTCCTCCAGAGCTGCTAATTAGCTGTGTTAATTAGGATGCACCCTGGTTTTTGGGGCAGGGAAGGTGAGGAGGATGCTGAGTCCCTCTGAGGTCTGAGGGTGATGCACCAGCAGCTCTGTGGGTCAGAGGGGGGAGGTGACAGCAGGTCTGTCTGGGGGGGACATGGGGACAGAAGAGGAGCAGAGGCTGCTCAGGAGCTGAGTCTGTGAGAGCAGGATGTGGATCCAGGGCAGAGGCAGGCAGGAGTGGCCTCTCTACAGCCAAAATCTGGGGCTGGAAGAAATTAATGCTGTTAGGAAACCCTTGGGTTTCAGGGAACAACTGGATTTTTTTTTTTTTTCATGCTGTGAGTGAAAGTCTGCCTCACTTCAGGCACTTTCCCATCCCAGCAGTGGACTGGGAGCAGCAGTCCCTGCAGGCAGCACTGCAAAACCCTCCTGGGTGCTTCTGAAAGGAGAAAGACTCTCCAGGGAGGAAAGGCATCACTTCTCCCTCAGCAAACCCCTTCAGAGCCATGAATCAGCCGAGTTTATATCAGAATGAGGTGGGCAAAGGGAGTTTTGGGAGGGGGGCTGATCCCTGCCACAGAGGGAAGGAGCTGGCAGGGAGCAGAGGGACACAGCTCCCCCTGACCACCCAGGGGAGATGCTGGGCAGACCCTCAGGCCTGGGGATGCAGGAGGGTGCAGCAGCAGCTCCTGGGCTCCTCTGAGCCTGATACATCCAGGAGACAGGGAACTGCAGCTATTGCACCCTGCTGGGGGCAGCTTGCTCTGGCTCTGCCGTGCCAGGGTGGTTTTCCTCAGCAGTGCAGGTTTCCCGGGATGCTGGAGCTGGAGAAGTGTTGCACTGCAGGAGCAGCATGTCAGAGAGCCACTGGCTCCTGCTCCCCTTCCAGGACAGCACTGCAGGGATGCTTCTCCTGGCACGGAGCTGAGCCACGATGTTTCCCAGCAGACAGAGCTGCATCCCTCACCCTGGGCCTCTCCTTCCCCTCGGAGCCATCCCTCTGATCACCCTCTCTTCCCTGGAAACCTCCATCTGCTCCCACTGGCCACCTCCTCTGGAGAGCAGCAAGGCAGGGAGTTAATGGAGTGTGTGAGCATCGGCTGCTGTGTCAATAAATTACCCTTTGCTATTTTGGGCTGCTTCTCACACTGACCTTTCCTTCCCTGCACTCTCCCATTAATTTTTAAACCTTCTCCTCACCCCTGGAGTGCTCATTTCACCTCCTGCCTGATGCACAGGGACTCTTGGAGCACTACACAGCCCCTGTGACCCCATCCCTGCTGGGGACAGGGACACTGTGACTAATTGAGGTGGCCCCACTGGTGGCACTGCCCTCCAGCGTGGCTGCAGCCACAGCTGGGACCCTCCAGCTCCTTTCCCCACGGTGGTGACACCACTTGTGCCCCTGGGACTGGGGCTATGGCATGAGCTCAACATCCCCTTTTCCCCATTAGCTCCACCCAGAAGTTTTTGGCGCTGGTGGCAACACTTTCCAACCCCACCTGCCCTTTGGGGGTGCTTTGGGCACACCTGAGGGGGCAGAGGAGGAGCTGGTGGGGTCAGAGCTCCAGGAACAAGCCCAGGCAGTGCTGGAGGGGGCGATGGCCACTCCCAGGAGGGGACAGGCTCTGCCTGGTTGGGCAGTGGGTGCCTGGGGGCTGTGGCTCTCACCCAAATGTTCTGTTGGCTCTGACAGCCATGGACCTGGATCCCAGTGCTGCAGGACCCAGCTGGATCCCAGCTGTGGGCAGTGCCACAGCTCCTGGGAGTGGGATGCCACCTCTCTTGTGTTTGCTGTCACCAAACTTCAAAACACACTTTATCCAGGACCTGCTCAGCAGGATCCACGAGCACACAACCCCTCAGTTACCAACCAAACCCTGCCACGGAGGGAGAAAAAGGCAGAACAGGAACCCCACAGAGTTCAACAGCAAAACCCCACCACAGGGGGGGTCAACACAGACCCCCAGAGATGGGGGGTGCCCCCGTACCTGCAGGGTGTTGACAGGGAAGGCGGTGATGGGGGGAAAGTCCATGATCTGCAGGTCGTGCACGTGGCCGTTCATGACCACGGCGGGCAGGTAGACGCGGCGGGCCGTGGTGGGCACGCACACCTCGCTGAACTCGTTGTACAGGAACTGCCGGACTATGGCGCTCTTGCCCACGCCCTGGGCTCCCAGCACGGCGATCTTGAAGGTTGCCACCATCCCGCTGCGCGCCGGCCGCTGCCCTGGTGCTGCCCCCGCGGTGCCGAGGCTGCATATTCCCGAGCAGGGGGCTCAGCCCCATTCAGGATGCATTTCCCCTCCGGGGCTCCCCGTCACTGCAAGGCCAAGGGGAAGCTGGTCAGGTCTGAGAGACGCCCTGGAGCTGCACTGGAGGTGTTCCAGGGGGGGTTTTATCCAGCAGGAGCTGACGATGCACCCAGGGGTGTTGGCACTGCAGGACCTCAGGGTGTCCCTTGAACCTCCCAGCCCAGCGGCCAAGGAGAGGCAGGATTTGGGTGAACTTCTCCAAGAGGGTTCTCACAGGCACACACTCAGCCCTTTCAGCACCAGAACAAGGAAAGGCTCTGTCTGCAGCTCAGGGTTTGCTCAGGGTCCCAGGCTGTGCTGGGCACTCAACCCACGGCCACTGTCCCCAGCTGCCCCTTCCCGGGGCTGTCCCAAGCCGGGGAATCCATCTTCCCTGGCCTTGGACAGCCGGAATTGCCTTTTGCGGGCGGGGGGAGATCGCTGCGCGCCTGCGAGCGACAGCTTGAACGTTTCGTTCAGGCTTTGAGCGCCTGGGCAATTAACTTGATGGGGACTCATTTGCGAGCCAGCTGACAGGGTGAGCCCAGAGCCGCCACTGCGCTGAGGCCGGAGGGGCCCGGGGCAGGGGGGACACGGGGGGATAACCCACACACAGGGATGTGGGAGCTGAGCCTGAGGAGCCCAAACACCCGCTGGCAGCGGGCTCCCGAGCAGGAGCTGTGATGGGCACGGCGCGGGCGAGGGGCTGGGTCCCACAGGCTCTGATCCCCAGGAAGCAGCTTGTGCTTTATCCCAACGTGTGGATGCTTTGACCAATTTCTGATGCTCTGGCCCATTTTCCCTAAAAACCACCCCCGAAGTGCAGGGCAGCAGCTGGAAGTGTCAGGTTCGAGCACCCTGTTGTGCCTGTTTGATGGAGGTTATTTACCCCGGGAGGAGCCTGGGCACAGCTGCTGGGTGCTAGAGGGGCCGAGCTTCCCGGGATGCCTTCCCTGGGCCATGGCTCACACCACCTCACCCCCTCATGCAGGACCGGGGACCCTTGTCCCCCCGTGCTGCTGGCACCGTTCCCCGGGGTGCTGGCTGTCCCCAGCCCCGCAGTGGGAATGTTTCTGTGCCAGGTGCAGGGAAACGGGGGGTGCAGGAGCCCCCATCCCGACCCTGCCAGGGCCTTTCTCGGCCAGCAGACAGCACTGTCACTGCAGGTCCCGGGGGCCACTCTGCTGCAGGGACAGCCCCGTCCCCACGAACCCTTCCTCCTCCCAGCAGCGGCCCCGGAGCGTGATGGAGAGGCACAACTGGAAACCCAGTGGCCGCAGGGCTCGCTGGAACTGGGGCAGGGGCTGAGCCCCGCTCTGCCTCCGCCAGAGCCCCACCGCGCTCTGCGCTGGCACACGGGGACGCTGCGCCCCAAAAACACCAGAGCCCGACCAGATGGTCCCCGGCCCTACGAGCAGCCGCTGTGGGAAACTGAGGCACAGCGCGGGGAGCCTTCGGGGCACCCCACGGCGGGGCGGTGGGGCAGGGAGCAGCCGCGGCTCCTCAGCAGCAGGCCGGGCTCCGCGGCTGCAGGGCCGGGAGGGGGCTGGCAGGGGGCTCCGGGAAAGGTGGCTCGGCCCCCGCCGCGACCTTGGCCACGCTGCCACGCCTGGGGCACTGGAAGGAGCAACCCCTGAGCCCCGTAGGGCGGGGGCCGCGTCCCTCACCCCACATCCCGGCCCCACATCCCGGCCCTCCACATCCCGCACCCCCCGCATCCAGAGCTCCCCGGGGATGCTCCGGCCGCGCTGGGCAGCGCAGCAGCCCCGGCCCGGGGGTCGTTGGGGGGGACCGGGGGTGCCGAGGGGAGACGACACCCGCACCCGCCGCGCCGGCGGGCGAAGGGAGCGGAGAGCCGCGGCGCTCAACTTTCCCCCTCGTCCCCCGATCGCGGCCACCCCCGGCCCTGCCCAGCGGTAACTTTGCCCCCCCGTCCTGCCCTGCCCTTCCCGGCGGGTCCCCCGTACCTGGCGGCGGCGGCCCGGGCCGGCGGCGGGGAGCGGGGAGCCCGGCCGGGGCACGGCGGGGGGGCCGGCGGTGTCCGGGCACGGATGGAGGCGGCAGAGCCCGGTGGGATGGCGGGGATGCCCAGGCGGGAGGCGGGCAGCGCCTGGGGAGGGATGGAGGGAGAGAGGGAGGGATGGAGGGAGGGAGGCAGAGCGAAGGAAGGGATGCAGGCAGCGCCCGGGGAGGGAAGGAGGCTCTGCCCAGGCAGGGATGCGGAGGATGCCCGGGAAGGATGCGGGCAGCACCCGGGAAAGGAGGCAGGGAATGCACAGAGCGAGCCGCAGGAATCCAGCAGAGACGCCGGCTTCTCCCGGGGCTCTGGGGAGGCGCCGATGGGAAAAGACCCTCCCATGTCCCCCCTGCAGCGTGCTGGGTGCAGCGGCGTCACCCCTTCCCTCGCCCGGCGGCAGCTGGGCTCTCATGCCCACCCGGGACGAGTCCCACGGGCCGGGCTCCCCCGGGGCAGGAGGGCAGGAGCCCTCCCAGGGCGCCTTTCCCTCCCTCCCCCGACACCGCCGCTCGCTGCGCTCCGGGGCACATCGCTTCACCTCCTGCCGGCCCCTGGAGGGGCTGGGGGCTTCTCTGTGCCCCCAGAGGGGGGACCTGAGCCCAGGCTGGTCGCAGGAGGGACGTTCCTGTTGCAGTGTCTGCATTTCGGGTCACCCCGCACGGAGCGTTTACCTGCGTGCTGGACAGAGGGAAGATGCTGCCTGCACCTCCAGGACCATGGTCCAGGCCCCCGGGACACGCTGCTGACGGAACCCCTGCACCCCTCCGCTCCTCGGAACAGCCCCCAGCCCCCAGTGACAGCGGCCAGCACCGAGGTGTCCGCACGGGTCTGGCGGCGAGCACACGGGCTTGGCTGAGCCGAGCTCCGAGCTCCCCCCAGCCTCGGCTGCGAGAAAAAACCATCTCCGGGGGCTCCTCTCCAGGGGGAGGAGGGGGTGCAGACACAATGCCACATCCCTCCTGGGGGACAAGGGGCGGCAGACACAGCCCCAGGCTGGGGGCACAAGGACAGCCTTGGTGGCACGCTGGCAGGCACGGGGGTCACAGCCCTTCGTGTCCCGCGCTGCACCCGGGCTGGCAGAGATCGGGGTATTTCCCTGCAGAGCTGCCCGAGATATCTGTGTGTCCCCGGGGTTGTCAGCAGCCCGAGCCGCTGCTCCCCTTCCCCGCACGGCCACAGAGCAGCGCCGAGCCCGGGGATGCTCCCGGCAGAGCGCAGGGACCGGGCTGCACATGAACTCCCGCACAATTCGGGCTCCAGCCTCGCGGCTATTTTTAGCAGTTCCCTCCGAGATGCTCTTCAGTTGCAGTTTTATGCGTGAAATTTAATACACGAGCACGGGGGGAGGGGAGTGGGGCTGGATCCCGGCATGTCCCTGCTGGCTGGGAGGTTCATCCCAGCCTCGGCGACACGAGTGCAAGGCAGAGCTAAAACCACCCATCCAAGAGCTCCTGCGTCCTGGTGTGCAGGTGGCAGCAGGGGACGGGCAGAGCTGGTGGCTGTGGCCAGCTCCTGCTTCCTCCCGAGTCCCTGCCTCCCCCACAGCCCTCCATGGCTCAGGGAGCTGCACTGGCAGGAGCAGGGTGGGTGTGAGGCCAGTGGGAGCAGCAGGATTTTGGGGAGCCCACCCAGCACAGTGGGATTTGCCCCCACTGCAGGCAGAGCAGCAAGGAGCAGCTCAGGAGGTCCCTGTCCCACAGCGTGGCCTCGGGAGCAGGGAAGGCTCTGGGGACCAATCCCCCCTGGCAGTTCCCAGCTCAGGGAGCACCACCTGTGTCCCCTGAGCCCCACGGGTGACACTGCTGATGACAAAGCCAGCTCCCAGGGGGTTGGCGTGTCCCTGCTGACAGGGCACAGCAGCAGCAAAGACCAGTTTGTTCTCCAGGAGCCCCTGGCAGAGCAGGGAGGGAGGATGAAACCTTTCCTTTTGCCACAGGACATGAAGGGACAGCAGCACACAGGGCAGAGCCCTGAGCATCCCACAGCAGCTTTTGTTCCTGTGGGGCCAAATGCTGCTCCAGGCCCATCCCCAGCAGGGAATGATGCTGCCAGGCATTCCAGGGATGCAGGAAGGGACACAACAGCAAGATCAGGGACCCCAAGCCAGCCTGTCATTGTTACCTGACACGTGCACTTGCTTCTAACACAAAACCATCCAGTGCAGGGCATACTGGTGGGTATGGTACCTGCCTTCCACAGAGGGTGGAAGTTCCCAAAAATCCAGGTGCTGCTCAGCCAAGGCTGGACAGGGTAAGGGAAAAGGTTACCCTGCTCCAGAGCAACACCCCCAAACCTGCTGCTTGTTCTGCTGGACTTCTGACCACTTCAAGTACTGAGCTTGGCTCTGGCCTGGCACAGAGGTTTTGCAGCCCATCCTGCTTGAGATGGGACCAGAGATGGCAAAGCCCTCTGAGGAACAGCAGCACCAGTGCAAAGCAATCCAAACACATCACTGACTCCCAGGATTTCACCATTTCACCACAGGAAAAACAGGTCACGCTACACACAGCCCCCCTGGAGCCCCAAAAGGGCTAAGTGGCTATATCCATCTCCTGCTCCTCATCTGAGCCTGTCCCTGCTGCCCTTTGAGATGAGGAGAAGCAGCTGTTGGAGCACCAAGGAAACTTGCTGCCACCTCCTCCTGCAAGCCCCAGATTTAGGGGTGCTGTGCTGCAGAAGTGGCTGGTGGGAGAAGAAGCCTGGGGAGCAAAGAGTCTCCTTCCCACCAAACGCAGCCTTCAGCCCTGCTGCTCCCCTGGGCAGAGCCAGCACCAGGGAATGGCTCCTCTCCCCATTCCCACAGAGCCACACGCAGCCAGAGCCTGCTGGAAATGACTTTATTGACACGGAGGGCAGGGAAAGCCTGAAGAGCAGCACGAACGGGAACGAGCAGGGCGGAGGGAACGCCAGCCACGAGCCCCGGCTCCGCCCCGGGCTCTGACACCCACCCCAAAGGCTGGGAAGGAACTCGGCAGGAGAAGGGGGCTCAGCAGCCCCTCCCCACGCCGAAGCTGCGCTCTCCTCCCCGCCCCACACAGCATCACTGCTAATTGCTCCGTTAATGATTTTTACACCCGCAGGGCTTGGAGCAAATCGCCTCCCAGCACACGTGGGCAAGGCTCAAGGGCTGGGGTGTTCCAGCTCTGCCCCACTTTCTTCCCCCCAGCAGAGCACAGGGGTTCCTGCACAGGGACAGCACCTTCCTCAGGGTGCTGCAGCTCCTGGCTCCTGCTGGGACACTGGGACCTTTTCCCAGCACTGCTTTCTTGGCTGCAGCCACTGCCAGAGCCCTGATGAACGAGCTCCCACCGTGAAACATTTACTGACTTTGAAAGTGGCATCTCAAAGGACAACAGGGGGGTTGCTACACGCAAGAGCTTTGTTAGCTGGGGTGGAGATGTCCAAGCATGCTGGGGAGGGAGAGGCTGATCTGGACTGGGGCTTGGATTAAGCAGGACAAGCTATGGATGGAGCAGGGACATGCAGGAGGCTTTGCTTTCACTGCTGGGTGGCTGCAGTGGGGTGAGTTCACAGCTGTGGACTGCAAGGGAAACACTCCTGGCTCTAAGGGACAGCTTGGAAAAGAGGGACCAGGGCATGGGGCTGCTTGGGACAGGGATCAGAGCAGGAACCTGGCTGGCTCTGGCCACTGTGTGTGTCTGGGCACAAAGAGTGGAGCTGCTAACAGGAGAAACCCTTCCATGAGCTGCTCCACCCAGCCCAGCTGGAAGCTGAGTGCCCCAGGCAGGCAGGGAGCAAACACTGCCGAGCCCAAACCATCTCCCACCATGCCCAGCCTGGGGTTTGGGGGCAGCATGGCAACAGGGAGAGCCACTCCACTCCCCTGGCACCCTGGGGCACTGCCAGCAGCAGCCCCTCTCTGTGGGGGCCTGGCTGACACTGCAGCCCCACCGGGGAAGTGGCAGTGCCACATCTGGATGTGCCACCACGAGCCTGGGAACTGCCAGGGCCAGCACTGGGAGAGGGGGGCACAGCTCAGGGATGGCTGAGGAGGCAGCTTGGCCTCAGCAGGCACAGAAAGAACGGGAGGGAGAGGGGCTGCACATGGGTGAGGATGCAGAGACCACACCAGGAGCTCTGGCATGAGCCTTTTGCTCTAACAGCAGGCTCATGTCCTTCATTTCATCCACCCCTGCCCTGTTCCAGGCCTGCAGCTCCCCACACAAAAGCAGCCTCACTCCTCAAATCACCAGCTCATGAGGCAGGGAGATGGCTGGAGTGAAAACACCATCAAAGCCAGCACAAGAGTAATAAAAACCCCTCCTTAGGGCTCCATCCCCCTCTAGGACCCCACTGATGGCTCTGTTCCTAATTCCCCGAGGCTGTGCTCACCCTGCTAGAGCCCAATGCCCCTGCAGGGCTCCCAAGACTTCCTTGCAATCACCTTCTCTTTAAGCCAATTACAATAGAAAACCTCAAAAAAAAGTATAAAAATATAAAATAAAGTGCAGTGTTATGTTTTCGACACTTTTGCCTTGTTTTAATGAGCAGCTGTGTGGTTTTTGCTCGGTGTTTTTCCAATGAGCAGTTATTTTACAAAATCCGAACTACACCTAAAGCCATTTAGAAAACACTGAACATTGGCACAAAATGGAGAGAAGCCCACGAGAACGGATGAGTGAGGGGCGAGGGGCACATGGGAGTAGTTTGAAGCAGTGGTTACAAACTCCATGGACACTAAAAATACCAAAGGGGCTTGTTCCCTATCATCATTAGCACGTGGATACTAATTGCTACCTTGTTTAATCAGTGCCTTTGACTGAAATCCTACACATGAATACAGCTGCTTCCAGTTACGAGTGCTTTTCCCTGCGCTGGCGCTGAAGGAGGCTCTGGGGACCCCTTTCCCCCCTCCTTCTGCAGGGTGAGGCACAGGCTCCACCTCCTGTTAGTTTTTCAAGATGGCATCGTAGGCCTGGTAGATGTACTGGGACACTTCTGGAGCTCGGCATTTCAGGGAGAGCTGTGGAGAGGAGAGGAGAGGTTAGTGCTGGAGCTTCCTGCCACGGCCACAGGGGCAGCAGGGGACGGGCAGGACGCGGCTGCTGACAATCACACAGAATATTTCTCCTGCTTTCTTCATCATCAGCCTCAAACTGCCCTTTCAGAGCTTGCTGAAAGCAGGAGGAAAACAAAAGCAAACTCCCACTGTGGGGTTCCCAAATTATCAGCAAATGTAGGCGGCCCCACAGGCAGGAGGAAAAAGGGGACATGGTCCCAAACTGAGACAAGGGACCTGCGCTTGTCCTCAGGCTGCAAATCACAGCACTAAACCCAAGGGCTTCTAAAGATCTGCTGCTCAGTCCTGATGGACACAAACTTGGCTGTCACTCCTCTCTAAAGCAAAGATCAGGCTGAGACCAGGCTTGCAGCATCAAACCTTGTGCAAACACTTTAAATCACCTTCCAACGCTCACATTCACCCCGCAGCTCCCCAGACCACAGATTTCTCTTGAAACTCCTGGCACAGCTTCCAACATGAGATAAATCCTCTAATACCAGAGACACACAGGTCCCTCAGAAGGGCAGTGAAGTCAAAGAGAAGAGTCACAGGGGTGCATGAAGCAGGACAGAGAGCAGCTTCCCACCAGCCCCGGGCTGGTGCCAGCACAGGGCCACAGACAGCCGGGAACACGGCGGGGCATAAATTTCCCCTTGTCTGTAAGAGGGGGAAGGGCACCCTGGCAATGCTTCCTTGCTAATATCTCTTGGCTTTATCTCTGGGTAACCTTGGCAAGTCACTGCTCCTTGCTGAGCAGGCGCTGTCCCAGCTCACTGGTGACAGAGCAGGGCAGTTCTGTCGCTCCTCACTTTTCCCACGTTAAGCACTCCTCACCTCCTCACCCCTCCAGCCAAATGAACAGCATCTCCCTCAGCACAGAGCGAGCAGGGAGGGAGGAAGGGCAGGGAGGAAGGGCTGAGTGTGTGGGCGAGGCAGCAGGAGGCCAGGCTGTGCCCTGCCCTCTGCTGGGAGCCCTCACCGTGTAGTTGGGGTTCCCGGGCTGGATGCGCAGCTCGGCCAGGATCCAGATGCCGTTGGTGAGCTTCAGGGACTGGTAGAGCATGTCCTGCCCCTCCACGTTCCTCTTGGCAATGGTGTAGACATTGTTGTTCTGCAGCTTGCTGGAGACAGTGTCTTTGGAGGGAAGGGAGGAAAAAAAAGGCATCTGTTAGTTCAGACCCATCATCTGCAGAGACAGGAGAGCCCTGGGGAGCATTCCCAGGATGCAAGGGCACAGGGAAATGCTGGCTCCTTCCCTGGGGACAGGAGCACACATGACACAAGGAGAAAAAAAATCCAGTTCTCTCCATGGACCCACCTCATTCCCTTCAGGCTGTGATCTCTTGGTAAGTATTTGCCCATTTTACAGGGCTCTCACTGCCCTGGGTTACTCAGGACTTGATCAAGGTGAGACTTTAAAGGCTGCTCAGAGGGGAAGAGGACTCTGCCTCCTCTACAACCCCCATCCACCTCCAGGCAGCCAAAAAGTCAGAAGATGAAGGTGGAAAAGAACAAAGATCACAGCCTGAGGCTTGCTCAGGTTCCTGTCCCAGCCACAAGAGCTCCCTCCTACTTCACTCACACACAGACACTTCTGGCCATATCAATGTCCTACAAGGCAGTAAAAATCTTTTCCCTTTTTAAAAAAGCAATTACTTGAAAGGGTAAACCACCCCCAGACACTGTCTAGTCTCTAGACATCACAGGGCTGTGGTACAGTTTGAACACACAGCCTGACCTCAGCCCTTGCAGATGAGGTGTGATTTCATCTGCACACCTGGATGGGTGTCACTGTCACACACATTATTTCTAAGGGACTTTTTGAGAAAAGCAAAACAGGCAAATATATAACATCAGGACCCAAACCAGCAGCCCTGGATGCCAAGGGATTCCTCAGCACAGAGCAAACATCAGGCTGTGGATGCCTGTAAAGGGGCACAGTCACACTTTGGGTGGAAGATCCCAAAGCATCACTGGCAAATTCCCATTCCTGGTGTCCAGCAGGAGAAATTTAACACTTTATCTGTGCGGGGTCATTCAGAGCAGGCTGGGCACTACTGACCAAAAGCGAGGGAGAGAAACAGCCTGAAACCAACTCCCACTGAAAGGCCAGAGACTGGAAATGTGGGATCCATCTAAGGAGAACAGAGAGCAGGACAGGAGCAGAGGAGCAGCACAAAGTGACTGTGCAGCTCCAATCCATCCCTGCACCTACAGACACAGAGATCCACAGGGTGCCACACCTGAGAAGGGACACCAGCCTGTGCTGAGGGACTGAAGAGAGGACAGCAGAGCTGTTCCTGCACCAGGGAATGGTGGGAGGAGGAAACAAAAGGCAAATCCACACCCTGGTGCAGACACTTGGATACACTGGCTCTTCCCAGGGCAGCCTGGACCCTTTGCTGCACCCCTTTGCTCCAGAGCAGCTCCCTGCAGGTCCAGGATGGTTCAGGCATGCAGCTACCCAGACACACTCAGATTTAGGCATCCTCTCTTCCCCAGTTACTATGGAAACTGGCTGATATATGTTACTAATGAGATCTTTTGCTTAAAACCCCTCATTGCCTGTCTCCTCCTCCCACCCATACTCCTCCTCTCCACAATAAACTCAGCCAGACTTGGGAAATGGGCAGTGCAGAGCAGTCCCCTGCTCACAGGGAGCCTGGCTGGGATGAATCCATGCTGAAAGGACATCACCACCAGCAATGAAGCTCCAACTCCCATATTCTCATGCTCCCAAGGCATCAAGAGCAGCCCCCAGGCCCTTGGGAAGGCACAGTGTCCAACACAAGCACAGGCTCAGGCAGGACATCCTTGTCTGAGAGGGTTGCTGGTATTAAATGGGATTTTGTTTGCCCCATTTGGACAGGCTGTGGTTAAACCTCACCCCTCTGGATGTGCATCCTGAAGGTGGAACTGCTGGCAAGGACTTTCCCCAGCAACCCTGACACCTGCCACAGCAGCCTCCCCTCTGCTGGGAGGTGCTGTTGGAGTAAAGGCATTTCCTGGGGAGCAGGGATGCAGGGTTGGAATGAGAAGCTGCAATTTTGGCTGCTACCCCAGCACGGGGTGTGATGGCAGAGCTGTGTCTAGGGAGCTCAGCAGGTGAGACACAGCCACAAAGGAGCTGCCCTTACACCAAAATCTTCATATGATGGCTTCTCTTGCCATGGAAACATCCCCAGCCTCTGCTGAGGGGCAGATTTCAGAGCAGGAATGTGTTTGTAGGGAGGACACAGAGAGGGAAAGTGAGGCAGGGCAAACCTAGGAAGCCTATTTTCTGCTCCCCTGACCTCAGTTATCCTCCAAAGAGGACAAAAAGCCCCACCAAAGGATGTCCTGCCTCAGCCAGAGCAATGGTGAGCAGGTTGGAGCTGATGCTTGCCTTGCCTGACCCTCCTGCCCCCTCTCTGAGCACAGATCTGAGGCCTGGGGAGAGCTGAGCCCCTCTCCCCCTAGGTAGCAGCTCCCATCCCTCCTGTGCTCTGGAGTATCAGCAATTTGGATTTTGGAGATCATCAGAGTTGCTAAGCAACAGTGGCAGGCTGTGGCTGGCTGAAGGCAGGACCGCTAATGCCATGTGACAGCACAGCCTTAAAAAAATAATAAATAAAATCAACCCAGGCAGATCTTGCTGGGAGCAGGGAGCTGAGCCTGCCCCAGAGCCCAGGGAGGCAGGAGCAGGGCTGGGTGACTCTGGGGACTCTGCAAAGCAGAGCACACAAGCCCTTCAGCAAAGCAGCACAAGCCACAGCTGGCCTTGCACAGCAACTTTCTTTTGTCTCAAGGGTTCTTCTCAGAACCCTCCTGAAGCACAAGGGAAGGACACAGGGAGGTTTGGCCCTCACCATGGCCAGGGAAGCCTCTGACATCAGCCCAGCTCTCAGGGCTGGTTTGTTTGGTTTGTTTTCCTTGTATTTTCCTTCCTGAACAGAATTCTTTCCCTCAGTCCCACAGCCAAGCACTGCACATGGAGACAGGGACACGGGGAGGAACAGCTCACAGGTCCCCTCCTTTGCCCTAAAGGGACCCAGTACTTTTTTAACAGCACTTTTCTCCTGGGTAAAGCAAAGGATGAGCTTAAATCTTCTGCCTACCAGCTTGAGAACTTTACATCTGAACTCAGAGAGCCAAGATGAGCACCTGGCAGGGGGTTTGCACAAAGGACAGGCAAACTCAGAGCCAACACTGACCACACACCTTGTCTGACCTTCGTGGCAATCTGCTACAAGCACTCTGTATCAGAAAGTACAATTCAATGCTTATATTTTATGCTGTGTTAGCCCAGATCATCCCTGTGCCATTTCTAGCAGCACCTGAATGGTTCTGAGCATCCAGCCAAGAGCTGCACTCAAATACCAAGCACAGGCTGATCCAGTGGGGAGGCACTTGGGGCAATGTTCTGACACTACATTCATTTCCAAGACATGAAATATGCACCAGTTCTGTAATTTATTAAACTATCAGCTATAAGATTAAAAAAAAACAACATACCATGCAAGCTTGTGTATGATTTTCCCCCAGGTTTTTTTTCATCAAAATAAAATCCAATTTTTCTTTGCATTGGCATTAGCAAATTATTTGGGGGGAGAAAAACAAAGTGACCACTGCATACCAATAAAGCCATGTTCAACTCCAGACATGAAAGCTGCTGTTTCACACCAAATTGTGGAGCAGTGATAAACAAGTAAAACCAAAATTCCTGTGCTGAACAGCACAGCAACTGATGGAGTGGCATTAAATGGGAGGAATTCTCCATGTGCAAGTCAGCTCATCCTCTTTCACTCTGTGGGTTTGGGTAAGCAGTGTTTAGGAAAAAGAAAAACATTTAGCTCATCTGATTTGCATATCCTAATGTAGTGATCCTTTAGAATTTAGTCAAACTTAGCATGTTGAAAAAAAAAAAAGTGTAAACAAGGCAAACTGAGCTTCAGTGCACGCTCAGTTACAGGGGAAACCTCAGCTGCACCAACAGCACCCAGAATATTTCAGCTATAACAGTTAAGGAATCTATTTTCACGCACTAGATTAGTGTATTTTCATTAAAAAAACCCCAAATCAATTAATTTAGCACTGGATTAATAAGAGATGAGAATGCTGGGCTATAACCACGACCTTGTGTTTTCATTATTTCTGAATGAGGTTTTCTCCAGGGAACTATCCCAACCTCTTCCTAAGAGGTTGATGCATGGAACAGCTCTGATGAATTCAAGATGTGCAGGGCATCCCAAGCACACCTTGACAGCTCCAGAGGGACTTGTTCCTCCACAGCCCTCAGGAACAGCCTCAGGCCAGGTCCATCTCTCACCACTGGGAACCTCAGCCCCAAATCCAGAATTAAGCACTCATTTCTCCCTGAGTCATTGGGGAAGGGTGGGAATACCTTCAAAGGTCCAGGATCTGCTTTTTTTGGAAGCAAAGATGGTGGAGACACAGATCAGCTCACAGATCAGACCCCACTTCCCACAGAGAGGGACCTGCTCCTCATCCCACAGCCTGGCACCTTATCCTTGCCTTCACTTGCCATGCTCTGGGCTGCCTGCAGCAGCCAAGGCTTTCTGGTTGCTCAGTGCTTTGGCATGAGCTGCCAGGGACAGGAGCTTTTTCTGCCATCCCTGTTACAAGCCACCAAAGCTCAAACCAATCCTATTTTGCTTGTCTTGTGGGTACAGGATGGATCTTTTACCTACAAAGGCCTGGGAGCACAGACTCCTCCAGAAGCTTCTCTGCTGTCTGTGTTTATCTCCTTTTTGTTTGAAAGAAGAAAAGCAATAACCTGGAGAGAAGTCTGCAGTTTGCACAGGAGGTGCTGTAAGGTGACTGTTGCACTGTGACAGACAGCTCTGGATGTACAAGAAACTCACACACTGCTTTTCTGACAGATCAAATCCCAGCCCCCAGCTAATCCCTGTGCCAAGCCTAACTCACCTCAGAGCCAGTTCCTGAGCTCACAGCAGCATCCTGGCTCTTTCCTGCTCTTGTCCAGTCTCTCCCTCTCCTCATTTCTTACATCCCAACCTCTTGGTTGCACACACCTGCTATCAAGTCTGTCACATTGCCCCTCAGCTTCTTCATCACCCACTCCTGTAATTCCCCAGCTCCAAATCCCTGTGTAGTATTCTTCATTTTCACCTTTATTTCCTTACTTTTCACCTCTTTGATTAGTCCTGCCTCAGTCCAGACACTTTCTAGAAAGCCTCAAGTGTGTCCATTACCTGCATCTTCCATTGCAGCATCTCCCAAGATTCTTGCCTTTCCCTCAGTAAAATAAAAATAGGGAATAAGTGCTGGGTGTTTAGAGAGACAGAAATTCAAATTTCAGTTTCTCCACTGAGGAAGAGCAGCACCCCCTGCCTGACTGCTCTGCAGGGCCTCCAGGATGTCTGCACAGAGCTTCAGCCCTGCTCCTCACACAGCACAATGTGAGAACTCAGGAAAGCAAAGGCTGTTTGCAGCTGGGAGCAGGAGAGGCAAGCTCTGAGGTGCAGGGACCACACTCCTGAGCAGCTGCTCCACAGGCTCTGAGTGGTGCTGGAGCTGTGTCAGGGCACAGCTCTGGGAGCTGAGTATTTTTAGCTCCAGCTGCACTCGCGTCACTGGGCTGGGATCAGTGAGCTGAGGCATGAATGGTGTCTGAGCACTCACCACCTGTGGGTGGGCTCAGGCTAGGGATGAATGACTGATCCCAGCAGATCCCAGCAGGGATAACAGCTCACTCCAAGGAGCCAGCAGTGCTCCAGAGCTGTTCCCTGTGCTGGAGGGCTGCACAAACCCAGCCTCTCCCCAGGTTTGGTGAGGAGCTGCTGGGACCTGCAGAGTTTTGTGCAGCTCTGCCACGAGTGCATTGCAAACCTGCAAAAACACCACAACCACTGATAGCCCAAATTGAGAGCTTTATTGTGGTTACACATCTCCTGTAGGAGAGTCTTTGAACAGGAACCAGCCCTTCTTCCACAAGGACCAAGTTCCTAAGGATTTTATATACAGACTTGCTCTTCCTGGAAAATGGATAGTCTTAAGCCTATTTTGACTGGATTTAAACAATCAAAATTATGAATCTTTAAAAATTATCACCCTCCTGAGGCACACGGCCAGCACACATCCTTGCTCTGGTGCAAACTAGAAGATGGACTCAGCTCCTGCCAGATTTCACCCAGCCTACTCTGCCTCTGCCCTGGTGTCTCACTTGCCATGCTGTGAGAGATGTGCACCCCTGAGGATGCTGGAACCCCAGCACCCATGGGTTTGGGATTTGGCTGATCCTTGTGCAAGCAAGGCTTGGTGCTCTTAGGACAGTCTGAGCTAGAGGAGGTTACTGCCTGTAGGAAATCAGGGTGAGCAGGCTGAGTCAGGGCTGCACTGGTAGAAAGAATACAAGGGGCTCAGGCAAGCACACAAGATTTCCCTGGTTTTCCCTCCTGCAAGCTCTTGGCCTGCCCCGTGCCCAAGCCCTGGGCAGGGAGGAGCTGCAAGGTGGTGAGGGCAGCAGAAACACAGAAACAGAAGCCTCAGTGGCTGGAAGTGTTTGGAATCTGTTTATGAGGTGAGACCCACTTTCTGCCAAAGAGGCTGGCAGGTCCTGCACTCCCCTGAGCACCCCCAGGGATGGGCTGTGCTCTGGAGAGGTTCTGCAGCCACGTTCCTGCTGGGAAAGGCTGCAGATCCCACTGACAGGAACTGCCTGGTGTTCCCTGCTCTCCCTGAGAGCTGGTAACCTGCTCTTCCCTGGGCATCCCAGGCCTGGGTGAGCAGTCTGGCCCTGAGCTGGCAAACCCTTTTGGAATGGGGAGCATTCTGTCACTCCATGTTTCATAACATCATCTTCCAGAGGGAGGAGGGGGAGGCCAGGCTGCAGGACTGCCAATTTTCTCAGCCACATCCCCTTCCAGGCAGCACCTCAACACCAAAATGAGCAGCTCCCAGTGTTTCTGACTGGAGATCAAGAGCCCTGGATGCAGGAGGGCATGGCCAGGGCAGAAGGCACCAGCAGCAGCAGCTCTGCAGTGCAGGGGGAGAGGCAATGCCAAGCTCAGGCAGGAGCAGAGGGAGGACTGGGGGAGGCACAGAGGTTGTTCTCATTTGAAACCCCACAGTGAAATCAAGTCATAAGGTCCAACAGCTGCTATTTTTCCCCTCCTCTTGCGTGCTCCAGCTTTTATATTCCAAAATAGTAATAATTATGAGTACAAAGAGACCCATGGTTTCTGTCTGCTATTGAAGCACGAGGGTGTTCGTTGTGTAATAGCAGGCATGAGAGAATAAAAAGGTTACAGGGTTGGTAATCAATAGGGACACTTCTTTCATCTGTGAAACAGAGCAGCTTTTGGTAGAATCACTTGGCTCCTGCCCAGAACCTCCAGAACAGGAGCAGAGCTGCTGAGCTGGCCCCATTCCACTCTTCTACACTCCCTTATCCTTCAGCAGTAGTAAGGTCACACGTACAAGATGCTCACAGAGGCAATTCTACAGCCAAAGAAACTGAACAGGACCAAACATGATCAAAATGCATCAAGATCTCAGCTAACAGCAGCACACCCTTCCCATATGGCCTGTCCCCCTCAAACACCCAACACCCTGCAGTGTCTGCAGGGTTAAATATTTCATAAAGAAAGAAGAAAGAAGGTGCCAAAAGGTGAAGTGAGTGGCCCAGGGTGATGCAGTAGGGCTGGAACACTTTGATCAGAACTCACAGCAGCAGGACAGAGCTGCTGAACAGCCCCAACACCATATTCAGCTGCATTTCAAGAGCAGCTTTGCAGGGAAGCAAAGTATAAAAGGGAAAACAAGAATACAAGGTCCAGAATGAAAGGAAGAAAAAGATGGGTCAAATCAAAGACTTGGGATTTTAGATGTGCTTTTATGGGGACCCAGCTGAAGTTTTTGACTGAAACAAGCCCTAGGATCCCAGTCTGTGCTATTCAGAAGTGTAATACTCACATCTTCATTAGCCATCAGCTTATTTTACTAAGGTGGTATTAATAAGGTGATTTTTAATGGCAATACATCAAAAGTGCTCTCAGCATGGCAGAATGAAGCTACTCACCAGCATTCAGGTGACAGTCTTTAATCTGGAACTGAAGCTCATTTTCATTTGGAATATCCTTCCATGTTGCAAGGAAGACCTGGCGCTCTAGAAACAAAAAAACCCCTCAGACTGTGGGATCCTCACAGGACCCAGCATTCATTAACACACCACAGAATATTCCAAAGTAGACACACAAATGGGCTTTTGGTAACTTTTTGCCCTGCTGGGGACAGATCCAGGATTTACTCCTGTAACAACCTCGGTCTCTTTGTAAAAGCAGCAAAGCTTTGATGGATTTTGGCCTCCCCCAAAAGAGAGATAGTCTTTGCCATATGAGCTGTTTACAAGCCAAGAACATGCAGGATCTGACAAGAAGGAAGGAGATCCACACATTTAGGATTATGTTAGTGAAAGCTGCTTTTCAAGCAACTTCCAATGAATTCAAACAAAACTTTAACAAATATGACTCGGAATACAAAAATTCCAGTGAAAAGGGGATGGGGTAAAATCCTAGATCCATTCAAGTAAATCAAACCATCAAAAACTCCCAAAACTACAACAACCCCACCCCAAACAAATACCAAAAAAAAAAAATCAGCTTCAAAGAAAACAGATCCACCTGGATAAGAGAATGAGAAGAATGTCTGGCTGAGAGAATGAGAGGAGGGGACTTGGGCTCTGGCAAGTACTGGAGCTGCAGGACAGCAGGGACAGGCCACCAGACCAGAGCTGCTGAAGTGCAATGGCACAGGTGAAACAGAGCCAGGAGACACCTGCAGCCAGCTGGGCACTGGGAGCACAGCCTGGCTGCAGGAGGCTCAGCACACACCCCAAAGCACTCACCCATTTTGCCATCCTCCACGAAAAGCACGTTGAGAGGGATTAGGCAGCTGAAGTAAAAGACATCAATGTTGTTTTTCACAGCCACCTGTCACAGAAAAAACAGGCAGGTTAAAGAGTCTCTCTCAGCTGGAAAACCAAAGGGATCACACACAGTCTCATCACCCTGGAGTGCTCTCTCTGAGCAGAGGCCAGCTCTGAATGGGATGGTATTGAGCAGGAGCTCAGGGCAGTTCCAGAAAGGACCAGTCCCCTGCTCCATTTTCACTGAAAGCTGCCCAAACTTCTCCTGTGAACCTTTCATTGTCCTACTTCAGAGCCAGTTCCACTCAGGGGCTCACAGCAGCATCCTGGCTCTTTCCTGCTCTTCCCTCTCCTCATTTCTTACAGCTACATCCCAACCTCTTGGTTGCACACACCTGCTATCAAGTCTGTCACATTGCCCCTCAGCTTCTTCATCACCCACTCCTGTAATTCCCCAGCTCCAAATCCCTGTGTAGTATTCTTCATTTTCACCTTCATTTCCTTATTTTTCACCTTTTTGGTTAGTCCTGCCTCAGTCCAGACACTTTCTAGAAAGCCTCAAGTGGGTCCATTGTCTGCATCTTCCTTGCAGCATCTCTCAAGATTTCTGCCTTTCCCTCAGTAAAATAAAAACAGGGAATATGTGCAAGGTATTGATTCCTGGAAGAAGAAAGCCCTGCTAGAGAGCAATGAGGTAAACAAAACAACACTTGACAAAAGACTTAATTCTCAGTGTCATTAAACTCCACCAGCCAGGGAGTTTGCCCTTATCTGCTTTGCCTTTATCACACACACTTGCCATGTTCCCCACTAATCTCTGCTAACACTTTTCCCCAGGCTGAGAGCTGCTGGGCAAGCAGGAGCAAACAGGAGGTCTGAGAGGTGCACTGTCACAACTCAGCTCAGGAAAAGGCAGCTCTGGGCTTTATTTCCATGCCTCTCATGCTCTCCCCACGTCAGCCCACACAGAGAGCCTGTCATGGGAGCACAGCTCAGCAGACACCTGCCATTGCTGCAAGGAAGGAATCTTAAGCCTTGTAAGAAAGACTCACAATTGAGGTTGTGTGGAGAATTTCAGGAGCCATTTGAGCTCTTACTTTGTTTGAAAAATCTCAGAGAGAGTTCTCCCATTTGTCACCCTGAAACACAAACCAGACCACGCTAAATGCTGAGCCAAAGGAATGAATTTGCTGCTACAAAGATTTATGGCAAGACAAACTTCATTGACATTAATAATTACATATATTGGTGTCCTACTAGGAAAATCTATTGTCCTATAGGGGTAAGTTGAGAAGGACACCCACAAATGTTGGTAAAAACCAGCTGTGGATAGACAAGGAAGGGGAAGAAAGCAGTCAGCTGATCAAACATGCATGCAAGCCAGAGGCAAGTGGAAGGAGATCAAGCTCCCAAACAAACTCTCCTGGCAATTGCAAGGTGCCAGAAGTGCAAAGAACTGCAGAAAGGTTAATATGACAACTGTGGTGTTTCTACTTTTCAGCCATCACTAAAGATAGCAGCTCATATTTAATTCCCACAGTGCAAACCAGCTTAAGAAGGGATTAGTCTAAAGCCCACTAAAAACACGTAAGTGATGGTGCAACTGAGGAAAAAATTGGGATTGGTTCTCTGTAACAGGGAGCTGTTACATGCTCTGACTGCTGGCATCATGCTCACGAGTTGGAGTGTTCAGTGTTTGAACCAGAGGGGTAAAAGCAGATTGGTGGGTGGACTTTAGTGATTCACCACTGCAAAATATGATGGAACACATTGGGTGAGGAGCCAAAAATGCACCTCGGAGTCTGGGAGGGGAGAGCTGGGGGAGGGACAGCAGTGCAGCCATTCCAGATGCTGTGCTTGGATATAAGTCATGGAGATGAGCCAGAAGAGGGAAAATTTAGGCTAAATGTCTGGGAAAACCAACAGTGAGAATTATTAAGCAGCACTAAATTCCTCTGAGGAAGAGAAAAGCTCCAGTACTTGGACTTACGCTTAAAATCAGCTTTGACAATGCTCTCAATAAGAGGAACTGTAGGAAAACAACAAAGCATAGCAGGGACTACACTGCACGACCCAAGATCCTTTCCAAGTCTGATTTAATGATTAATTGCCTTGCCTTAGAACAACAGAGATTACTTAGCTTTTGTAGCTAATTGTTGTTGCCATACAACAGCAGTTTCTTACAAGAGGGGCTGGAAAGCAGCTCCTTCTCTCCAGTCACGGTTCTAGAGGCACACTCCAAATTAATATGCCAGCCCTGTCCCTGCAGTTATAAGGATGCTATAAAAAGGTATCTGCTGACCTGCTTCTCAACTCTGCAGAAACACACTGAGTAAGCTGCTTTGGCTATCTCTGGAGAGCTACCCAATTAAGATGCTCTGAAGTGCAATTTCTTCCCAGTAAAGGAAAACCAAGCCACATGGAAGCCTTCCTCCCAAACTGCATCACTGGGTTCAGGAATGACATCACATGTCACCTTGCAAGCAGCTGTAATCAGGCAGGAATCAGCTGTCACAAATAACTATTGCACACAGGGTGGAAAAAGCTCTCCTTAACCCACAGCACTGGGACATGACTGGGAAGCTCCCCAAAAGGAGCTTCCATTGCTCACCACCACACACTTCCCCCAAACTGTACTCCACAAGGTCAGGTCCATGAAAAGGCACCTGCAGACACCTGCATGGGAAAACTCACACCAAGAAGAGGCCCCCCTGAGTTGGTAACAGCTTCCCAAGGTCATGCTCCACATCAGGAGCATCCAGTGCCATCTGACAGGCTACAAAGGCAGCCACAGGCAGAGAGCAGATCCACAGCAGCACCTGCAAGAAGCTGAGCAGGTAATAACAGTGACTTTCCAAAAAAATCCAGTGCTCCTCAGGTGGAACATTGTCCTGAGACAGGCGATGACATCTGATGTGATAGCAGGAGCTGAGAAGTCTCTCCAGGTTTGACATGCCTGTAAAGGAACCTCTGCTTGCATTCAACAAATCCTCCAGTCCAGACTAACTTTGCTCACGGCTCTGCTTTAACCTGCTGACCTGGACATGAACTATTAAATCTCTAGCTAGACCTTTAGCTTCAGACATTTCAGAGTTGAAACAGAAGCATTTTTAATAAAAATGGCTTTCCATCTGTGATCTTTTAGAGAGAGGAAAAAAATATTAGTACCTTGTGAATTTAATCAAGCAGCCTACAGAGCTCTGAGGGATAGAAGTCAAAAGGTGTCAGATTTTCGTGTGGTGCTTGACTGTTGAAAAGGTGTGAGCCCACTAAAAATTGGCTCAGGGTTACAAATCACTTATGTCTTGCTCATGATCTGACTAAAGGAAGCAGCACCTCTAGAAATAACCCCTGCAATTTATTTGCTCACCTTCCAGCATGAGCACCCTTCTGAAGGGCTTTCTTGCAGTCCAGCCCTCTGACAGCCCAAACATGATATTTTGGGGAAGAAGTACCTCATAGGAACAATGTCAAGTTATTTTCTTCAACAGTGTAGGTTTCTGATGCTTTAAATCTCAGACTTGAGCAACAGAATTGACTTTCAAAGTCAAGTCTGAAAGCAACACAGATGCTTTCCATCAGCAGCAAGTACACAACATACCCACTTGGAATCCCATTAGCACCTACACTAAATTAAGGATTTACTTAAGTTGGGTTTTGCTTTGGAGCCTGCTAACAGCCAAACTGTTAAGGCAAGAACAACTCTCCTCTGCAGAGCCTTTTTTTACCTCACCAGGTCATGGCTTGCTCTGTGACAGGAATGCTGCTCCTCCACTTCATTGTGTGTGACAGGAGGGGCTCTCAGGATCCCAGGGGTGCTGCAGCCCCTGCCAGCCGTGTGCTCTTCCCACAGGGCTGAGCCTGGAGCTGTGCAGGCACAGCAAGGGTTACATCAATGGTCAGGGAACACAGAGTTACTGGGAGGGTTGTGCTCTCCTGTGCCTTGCTGCACTTCAAGTTCAAAATGTACAATTTATAAATGTGCTGTACCATGTGGCAGACGTGCTCTTAACCTCCAAACCAACAGCTTTCCACAGCTGAGTGAGGAACTGGCCACAGATGCCAAGCTGTGATCCAAGCCCTTAATTCAGAGTGTTCCCAGGAGGGTTCTTTGCTGAAATAAGACTCTCACAAGCAGAGACTGTTGAAGAATAACCCAGGCAACAAACCCAAGCAGCATCTTCCCCATCTAGCTACCCACAGGTGCTGTGTGCTGGCTGGTCAGGGATTCTCACACGCAGGCAGATATTGTGTCATTTATCAAGCAGGCTCTGGAGGGTGAACATCTGTTGGCTGGAATTGCTGCTCACACCGATTCCCACAGAGAGCTGGATGTGTGAAATCTGTCTGCAAGTTCTGAGTGCTGTGTTTGTGACCTGAGATGCATTAACAGCTCTGATGAATGAGAGCTCCAGCGGTTCTGCACCGCGAGACGCTGGAGCGTGGAGGAGCACAGGTGATGAGTTACAGCAGAGCTGAGACTGGAAGGATAAGCATCATCCACTGCATTAGAACACTGATATTTCCTCAGTGAAGAAGCTGCACCTTCCTCCTCTGTCTCTATAAAAAGGTTTTGACAAAATGTCCTGCACCTCACGCTGCCCAGCAGCAAGTCTGCGTTTCCAAGTGCCCCTCCTTGGGGAGAACTGCAGCTGGCAGATCCTTCCCTTTCCACACTCAGAAAATTTTACTGAATTAAATAAAAAAAAACCAGTTTGAAACATTTCAGGTTTTTTTCAGCTGCATGCTCTGTAGCTGCAGCAAGCAGGGCTGGCAGCTGCCAGCAGGATGTGGCACACTGATGGTGCACTCTGAACGTGGATCCCAGGAGAGTGGCTCCAGCCTCAGCAGACTTGCTGCTGCTCCAGGAGTGCCTGCAGCTCATTTTCACCTGCACATCTCCTGCAAGGGGCTATAATTTCACAGAAGAGATGATCATATTTGTGCCATGACAAGCCAGGCCTGAGCTCTGAAACTCTGGCTGCAGGTTGGCTCCACTTCACCCATTTCCAGGATCAAGGGAGCAATTCTTGTGTGCTCCAATTCCAATTTCACAGCATTTCCTAGCTGTTAAAATGCCAATTATTAGGAACAGTGGCTCTCTTTGGCATAGAAAGAAAATACCTGGGCTGAGAGCCTAATTCCAAATTTGACTTGAAGAACTATTTGGAAAGACAATACTCCCACCAGTGCAAATCCCTGCTTTAGGATTGTTTTAGGATCCCTTCCTCTTTGAGAGCTGAAGGTCTCACACACGTGGTGCCAAAGATACCTCAGCCAGCCCACCTCTCCCACCAGGTGTGGCCGTGGCAGCCCACATGCCACCAGCAGTGTCACTACTGCTTTGATTGTAAAAAGGAAACACTGCAGGAGCCAGGGAGACCTGAGCAACTCCCAGAGATGTCTCCATGGCTATCAAACACCCAGGAAGGTCAACACAGCCTCTCACAGACCTTTGGGCAAGGGATTGTTATTATTTACTGGTGCCATGCTCTGACTACAGCACCAGGCAGCCCCAAAAATGCTGACAAGGCACTGCAAGGGTGTTCTCCACCAGAAATCAGAAGCACACAAATAACTATGTCAGATTTGCTTTAGCAACAGGCAAACTCCAAAGGCAGCGTTTTAATCTGACAGAAGTTAAAAAGATGAACCAGAGAGCAGGGATTGGGGTTTGTTAAGCCCTGCAGTGCTGTGTCCAGTCTAGCTCTACGCTGTGGATAAATCTCTGCTTGACTGGGGGTTAAAGCTGAGTCAACAAGTCATGAAAATGATCATGATTATTTTGGGATGCAGGGGAGAAGCCTGGCATTCAGCATCACAAGATGCAAGGTGACTAGCAAACACAAGACTCTTCAGCTATATTTCACCTAAGTAAGCCTCTGAAAATATTTCAGCTCTCCTCATCTTCTTGCAAAAATGTCTTTTTTGTTACCTTGTCAAATATTTTAGTTTCTCTCCATGATTACAAATGTCAAGATTAAGTAAGCTGTATTGGGTGAAAGATTAGAAATGGTAATAAAAATAACCTGAACAAGACATGAATTCATCACTTCTGAAATAGTTGCCTAAGGAATGTACAACTAGTCTTTGAAGTGTATAATTAACATGACAAAAAGTTGAAAGCTATCAGTTTGGTTACTTCAGGACTTATTTTTCTTGTTACTAAAAACAAAAAACTCCCACCAGAATAGGAGATGAACATAAGGTCCTCAGGTTCAAACCAGCCCTACATCTGCCTCAATGTTCCCTAGCTGAGGAAAAAAACACATTAAGTAAATTCAACCTGATGAGTGTTTTGGTTCTTCAATGAATACAGGAACATTTGTATTCTCTATCCTATATTATGCTATAAATTGTTCCCTAAGTAGGTCACCAAGGCGATTTCTGAACGTTTCAAGACAAATCCTTTCCACATGAACCCACAAAACAAAACCAGAGCCTTGGCTGTCAGGGCATTGAGAGATCTCCATCAAGCCCACTGCTGTCAAAAAAGTAAGGGGAGTGCTCTTTTTAACTTGGCATCTGCTATCATGATTCAACTCTTTGCAGAGAAATATACTATTACTCCATATGGCAGCTTCCCCAATTGTAAAAGGGCAGCCAACTTCTATGGCAATGAGAGCGTTAGCAAATTAACAACTGAGTCTGGCACTAATGAACGCTCCACTGTCTCAATAGAAGGTAGCTGGAGGTTTCCTCACATGTTTTCCTCTTAGCTTTGTTCTAGCAGGAGATGCTACAAGAAACAAACTGTGTTCCAAGCCCTTCAGAGATTTAATAACCCAAATACTTCACTTCCCTCCTGATCAAAGGAAGCAGCTACTTGAGAGGGCCTTGTTGAGAGTCCCCAGTGCTGCGGAGGCTGACTGGGACTGTCACCTCCACATTCCCCTCAGAGCAGGAGCCAGATTTTACCACAGCTGACCCAAATGCCACCTCAGCTTCATGACCTGGTTGCAGAGGGAGGGCAGCTCTTCCAGAGGCTGGAAGGGCCCAGGAGGGTGGAAGGCAGGCCATGGAATTCATTCACTGTCTGGGCTCCTCCGCTGCATGACTGCGCTGGGAGCCCGAGTGTGGGACTGCTCCTTTGAGTGCCAGAGAAGCTATTTCAAGCTGTTAGCCCAAAGACTCATCAATAAGTCATAAGGCCCAGAATGGAAGTCAAAAGAAGGGGAAAAAACAGTTGCCGAGGCAGAATAAATAGTAACTTGCATTGCATTCTCTTAAACTAAAAAGAGAATGAGCTGCTTCAAAATATTCCTCTCTATGGGCTGCTACACTGCAGGAACCCAACCCAGTTCCACCTCCTGGACACCTGAGGTGAGAGAAGCAGCTGCAGTGCAAGTTAACTGCATTTTAGGATACTGGGAAAATCATCCTGGAGGACCCAAAGGTTATAAATGCTTAGCAATATTTAATTCCAGAGCAGAAGCAGGAGTTGCTGACCTTCACTCCACAGCATGGCAGCAGTGGGGAAGAGCCTCCTTCCAGGGAGAATTGTCTGCCTGATGACTTCCAGACCACTGGAGACAGTCTCTGGTCCAAAGCAGAGAGGAATATCTCCCTGGATCTGTCCTGTCTTTATTAGATTGACAGCCCAATCTGATAAAGAGGCTCCCCCAGGGAGTGTTGTCCCTGCTATTCAACAACACCCTCATTAATGAAACATTAGCTGCTCACATCATCTCTCCTCTGCCTTTCCTGGAACACACAGTTTGCCTTGGATTAAGCTATCTGGGGCAGGGATGTGCCTTTGTGAAACACCCTGGAATTTAAGAGCACTAGAGAAATATTAATCACTTAGCACTTGCCATCTTCTCTGCAATTCTTTTAATTGCCTCAATTCTTACTGACAGCTCTCTGTGCCTGCTCCACCACAGGTACTTCCTCTGTTCAGATCTGCTCCACTTCTTAAGTCCAGCCAAACCTCATGCCCAGTTTACAGAGCAGTGTTACTGCAACAAAACCCTTAATCTACACAGAGGCAAGCAGTTGTTTTGAGGTGTTTGAAAAGTCATAAAATTCAACACATTTCCATTTCAGTTTTCCTGGGAAAAGCTTGGAAAAGGAAGAGGACTAAGCTTTGGCCAGACTCAAGGCCTAAATCCACAAGGTCTGACTGTTTACACGTGGTATTGAGTGATTAGAGCCCCACCACATTGTGTTGGGCACCTGCTGAGCTCCCCCTGCCCAGAACAAGACAATCCCTACCTGGAGGTTGTTCAGAGGCTCCATTTTCATGACTGGTCCCAGAGTGTTGAGGGGCAGGGAGACATCAATACTTTGGTTTGGCATCAGAGGTGTGTGAATGGCCAGGGGAGTGCTTGGGATGACTCCAAAGCTGGGCAAGAGAAAAACAGAGGTGGTGAGAGCAGCCCTGCATTGTCCAAAATAAGTCCAAAATACAACGTTCCTTTTGTCAAACACCACCTGCCTCGTCTTCCCACTACTCCTGAGCTGCCCCTGCTGCTGCTCCAGGGAGGAACACAGCTCAAATGAGTAGACAAAGTAGGACAAGGCATGGCAAACTCACTCATTTGCTGACAAATTCACCAGCCTGCCCCAGGGCCCAGCTCCTGGGAGCTCTGGCAGTACCCACATGGCACTGGTCTGTGTGCTGAGCACCAGCCTGCCCAGCAAGGAACGACCTGGACTCAGAGCCAGGTGTTGTTTCTCTGCTCCTGAGCTGCAGAGCACTGCAGGCAGGGTGCATCACACACTGCATGGCTGCTGCAGTGGCAGAGGGACCTGGAGCCAGCACAGAACAAACAGCCAAGGAGGAACATGTGGCTTGGAACAGCACAGCAGAACAAATGAATCAACACACGCAGCTGCCTGGTCCTGAATGACAGCACCTGGCCCAGCTGCCTGCTTGGAGGCTCCTTCACTGGGGATGTGTCCCAGCAATGTTTGCTTGCCTGTTCAGTCCAAGGAACACTGAATTCCACAGGCACCTCTGCTTAGCGTGGAGAAGAGGGACAGCATCTCACTTTGAACACAGCACTCCTGTGCTATGGACCAGCTGCTTCCCAAAGGCAGATGGAAGCCCAGGTGTTTTGGTGTCCACTCATAAATGCATTTCTCTTTAGCAGAACTAGCTCAGAGGTCTCAGGGTGTTTGCAGGATGGATAGGTGTGGTTTTTTATTTTGTTCACTAAAAGCCTGATGCTGTCTCTGCACAGTCAGCCACATTTATCAGGTTTGTCATTCTTTCAGAAACCAATAAATGCCCCATTCTTGGGGCATTCTTCTTAGATTCTCCTTAGTTTTCAGCTCTAGGAAGCTGAAATAGGAATATTCCTAGCAAGGGCTCAGCCACATGATTTGCCTTGTGCAGCCATTTCACCTTGGAGGACACAAACCCTCGTGTTTTCCCTAGGACTCAGAGGGAAACCAAACTTGCAGTTGGTTACTAAGGGGCTGTGGTATTACAGCACACCAGAGCTTTAGCTTTCTTTTATTTTTTTTAATGCTTTATCCCAAGACTGCAGCGAATATCATTAGCAGCAGCAGGAAAGGAGGGAAAAGCAATAGAAACCTTAATATTTATACTTAAAGAACTAGCCCTTTCTGCAGCTCTTTGTAATGCAGCAGGCACAGTGGAAAGCACTGACAGGAGAACAACATTTGTAAGAGAGTAAATAAATAGTAGTAGGTTGTATATGGAGCTTGTGCTGCAAGATGAAAAACTGCTGGTTTATTGTACAGTATTTAAACTTTCTACATCCTCAAAGCAGGTGTGGCTAAAATATAGCTTGATGTATGGGGGGAAAAAAAAAATCACAAAATGCCTTTTGTTCCAGGCTAATTTGCATGAAACATTCGCATACAGCAGCTTAGCAAAACTCTCCAGAAAATATGGCAGTCCAGGGAGAACATTTACTAAGACTTATTTAGCATAATGACTTTTCTAAGTAAATCTTATTCGTCCCAAGAAATCCTGAATTTGCAGCAGTGAGATTAAAGACATGGTTTCAGTGGATCTTCAGCAGAGAGAAGCCTTTTCCAGTGAAGTGATATTAAGGAATATGGAGAACATGTCAGTCACAAGATACTCTTTGCAGTCTTGATAAGAAGCAGCCTGGTCCTTGCTGAAGATAACACAGAGCAAACCACAGGATAAGCTCTCTGGAAAGGGTATTTGTGGGAAGACACTGTGGCTGGGCTGCCATGTCATGTCCTTTGGCTGAGATAGGTTTCCAAGAACAATCTGAATTCTATCATCCAAGCTCTGAACTTTCAAGTGGCTGCTGCTTCTGACAAAATTGTTCTGCTGCCTATTACAGGGAGAACATGTGCCACAGGCTCCCAACTTGCAGCTCCTTCAGTGACAAGCAGCTTTATTAAAGAGTCCTGTGCTTCCAGACAGTCTGAGGGGCAGCAGAGCAATTAAGTCAGGAGGCAGAGGCATCATGGGTTGATATTTGTGCAGCTCAGATCCTGCCTCTTTGTGCTCTTGCTTTGCCCAGGGCACTTACTGGCTATAAACCCACCAACCTGCCTAACAGCTCATGAGGCTGCTGGAAAACTCCACTGAGGTTCAATGGGGCAGATGCTGTTTCAGAGCTGGGAGAAGGATGGCACTGTCTGCTGCCTGTTTCCTCTCAGATTTATCAGTCTGTGCTTTCAGCCCTTTCACACAACTTTGGTGTTATAGAGAAGTCAGGCTGTATCACCCAAGCTATTTCAATGACTGCATTATACACCTAAGCACAAGCCCTCCTTAAATTTAGCAGTGTGGGCACAAACTCCTTTCCCAGGAGTGTTCAATCTGTTGAACATTGCTCATTACTTCTTACCTGTTCTTATTGAACTGAATGGCAAAGTCAGTCATGTGCTGCAAAGCCTTATTGGTAAAGTTCATCTCCATGTAGATGTGTCCCTGTCTGTGGCTGAATGTGCCTGAGATCTCCAATCCTTTAGCTTTCACTGCAGGCAGCCAAACCTTGAACACAAGAGATGTCATTCAGCGTGAGCAGCCTGGCCTGAAGATAACAAACAAGCAGAGTTTTCCAATAAACACAAGTCCTGAGCTCAGAAATCCACCTAGATTGGCACACTGAGCCCACAAAGGCTAAAGAAACATGGCAGGGAAGTTGGGACATGGGGTGTTGAAAGGATGGAGCTCACCACTGAGGAATAAGCTTGCTGCTCCTAATCCATATTTGTTCACAGCACCCACAGAGGAAATCAAATTACTATAGCATTGGTGGGCACAAGAGCAGGGACAGCTTGTGTCCATCACAGCAACGTGAGACTCACCCACTCTGCTGCTGGACTTCTCCAAAGGCTGGTTGGGCTATTAGAGGCAGGGCAACACTAAAGTTTGAACCAAATAAAATCACAGGGCTGATACTATTATCTGTTGGGTTCTGGATTCCCAAATCACCTCTGTGGGAAAAACCCTGACCCAGATCTGAGTGGTGCAAAATGAGCCAGTATTTAGCTCAAAATTACTGTGGACCTTTTTTTTTTTTTAAATATAAGGTGCACTAATTGCAAGGACCAAAAACTTTGAGTACTATCTGCAGTACCTTGAGATCCTCAATTTCAGAGGATGATTTAAAATTATCCACCCATGGAGCGTTAATTGAGTGCTAATTTTTGTTTATTCCCTTTCAGGAGCCTGAGCTTCCTGTGGCTGCTCCACAGCCAGTTTCCAGAACCATGTTCTGTGTCTCATGATCCCTCTCAATCCATGCTTCAGCCAAAGCCTCTGTGATCTCTGTCACTGACAGAACATTTCTCTGCACTCCATTGCAGTACCATCATCCCAACCACACGATTTTATCTCCACTGGCATGTTGGATTCCTCCAAATAAACAAACAAACCTGCTGGGAAAGTTGCTGCAAATTCTGTCTTGCCCTCAGTCTTCTGGGGAAGCTTGTTAAGAAGCAGGTCTGCAGGAAAGCTGCTCTGATACAAATGAAAGTCTGGGATCTCATCTAAGCCATTCTTTAGAGAAATGCTGTCACAGGTAAAATGAGGGAACAGCTAAAATGCCAGAAGTCTGTAACTAATAACTAACATGGTCTCCAACACGTGGTTACTCTACTTGGGAAAAGCCCAGGGCACCCCTAATGGGACTGAGTTGAAGTTTTAGCACCAGAAACCCACAATAAATAGGACAAGTGAGCAATGTGAGATTTCTAGCTCAAGGGAAGGCAAGACACTGGGGATGATTGTTTTTGCTTACGTACAGACTTGGGAGCCACATATCCTCCAGGAGCCATCCCCATGCCAGATGAGAGCTCAAAGAGATCGTTGAGTCCAGTGGTGACCCCTGCAGGGGTGGGAGAAGGGGCAAAGGCAGCTGGCACAGCAGTGGGAATGTAGGTCTGTCCCACCTGGAGGAGTCAGAAAGAACAGGCACTCATTAACATCACGTGTGAGCACTGCTTATTAAATAAACCATGAACTCAGGCAATATCCTAAATATTTTAAAGCCATTTGCAGCTTCCCCACTGATTTATCAATAGTGCTAAATTATGCATTTGAATTCCAAAGCTCTTGGCAGCTAATCCCTATACTCGGCTGTCACCTCAACCAAGCTTCCAGATCATTTTTTATAGCTCCAGTTATCTATTCCCACTGTAGAGGAATCTTTCTTCTCCACATCTCCTTCTCATAAGACAATATGCTTTGTGGATCTACCCTACACAAACCCAGGGAAAAGAGCAAAATGCTTCAAACCTTCCCCCAACTACGTCAGTCTTCAGGAATCTGCAAGATTTTGCATATCCAGAGATAGCAAGGGAGTCATGACCATGTTGTGTACTCCCACCCAAAGCCAGAGCTCTGCATTCTCAGCACTTGGGCCCTAAAGGTTCATTACATGAAGAAGAGTCTGCCAGAGGACAACCTTCCTGCAAGAAGGGCAATCATTCCCTCCCAGGATTTAAATGAGGGCATCAAAGCTGGAATATTAACCTTTAGGTGCCCAGCTTCAGGGGGGACAGTCACACTCAAGTTACACTCCCAAATTCTCTTCCTGTGCTTGAGAACAGGATTCCTCAGCCAGCAGCCCAGAAACAGCCAGAGTGACCAGGACAGAACTGCCTGCTGGGTTTTTGCTGGCCCAGGAGGGCAGAGACCTGGCTTTGTAGGTATGATCACCACAGGGAACCATCTCCCATGTCCTGCTGTGGGCTGCCTGGGTGTTAAGGTGTTCTGTGCCACCAGCTCTCCTCTGCCCTTGTGCTGAAGGAAGGAAGGAAGGAATGCCAGATTGGCAGGGAAAGGAGGAGAGAGAATGACTGCACCCATAAGAAGGGTCTCTGAAAAGCCCTCCCTTCAGAACTGAGTATGCTTTCCACACTGAATTACTTGATACAGTTATGGGAAGAGGGATTGGAGCTTTCCAGGAGACACCACTCCTGGCTGTGGGTTGGAAGCACACTCCCTTCATGCCCATTGCATCTCCAAGCCATGTTTTGTTCCCATTCCACGCTTTTCTGGAAGAAGCTGCAATGAACTTGAAGCCAAGGCTGCTTTAAGAGCAGGTTGAAACTGTCCCATGTCCTGGCAAGAGCTGTAGGCAGGAGGACACCCCAAAGCACAGGCACAGAGGAGGTGGCCGGTGGCAGCACTGACCACACGTAGTAGGAAAGCTCAGAGCACCTGACCCTGCTGTCCAGGCAAAAATCTTATGTGGAATTTGGGAGGAGGAAGCACTGAGTTCAGGTAAGTCTGGTGACACTGGGTTAGGGTTACAGACCAGGCTTGGTGAGTAGGAATGAGCATCCTTGGCCTTTCAGCTGCTAAAGCAGTTGCACAAGGATGAGGCACTGCCAGGGTTAACGCTGCTGCTTCAACTAAAAGCTCTGAGGAAGAAGAGCTAAGCAGAGAGAGTGAACAGCTCTGGCCCTGGCTGCTCTCAGGAAAGCCCAGGTGGCAGCTGGATCCAAATCAACATAGGTGGGGACCCGTGTGTTCCAGTTGCATTTTTGCATTTTCAAACATCTTCAGGGCTTTAAAAAGCACCTTCCAGCACGCAACGGGTGAGCTTACACTGAAAAACCCTGAGCTTTGAGCAGCTTTGGAAATTGGGGAAAAAAATGGAATGGCACTTACTGCCGGGCTTCCTCCAATGCCCCCGCCAAGGTCACTGCCAAGCTGAAAGAGAGAAGGAGAGAGAGGAGAGGAAGACTGAGATAATTTCAGCCAAGTGTCAGACGGCGAGCACGGATCGCTCCTGCACAGGACAGACGGAAATGCAGTGCTGGGAAAGCACAGAGAACAGAGGGGCTGCTTGCTGCTGTGGGAGCAGAGCTACCTAGAGAACTACCCCATGCCTTCACTGTTAATAGGAACAAAAATCCATCCCTTCTTGTGCCTGTTGTCTGCACCAAAACCTCCCTTCTTCATGTTCCATGCGTTGGTGCTTTCCCCTCAGCCCTGCTGCTGCCAACAGGCCCCAAGCAGCTCCACAAAACCCAGTGGGGTAACTGTGAAATGGCATAAAAATAAAACTGACAGGAAGGCTCACTTCCTGAAAGCTTTGGTTTTCTAGGGAACAGCTATGAACCATGGCAAACACAATGCATCTTGGCTGTGCTCCTCCGACACGCGGCTCCTTCCAGCAACGAGGAAGAAAGAGAACGGGATCTGTGCTGCCTCTGACAACAGCTCAGAGAGGGGGGCTTTGAAGATTCTCCCCTCCCTCAGACAGGGAAAAAACAGCTTCATCATCTAATGGGCACTCCAACAGCAAAGAGACCTCACAATGCACCAGGCTATTTCAGTACCAATTTCTGCCAAGCTGCACAGTCACATCTGAAGTGACCCAAACAGCCCTCCAGAAACACTAAATCCTCTCTGGGGCCCCTCTGCAGCCCACCTAGAAGCTTTGCCCTCACAAGTTCCCTTCACAAAACACCCAGGCCACATTCTCAGTGACACAGCCCATTTTTCAAACCTCCACATCACTCTACACGCTCAGGAGAATTCAGAGGTCAGGACAGGCTCCAAGGCTTGGCTACAAGCGCTGTTTGCAAGTACAACATCACTCCTGTGAACATTTGAAATGCACTTAACAGATAACCAGGAGGAAACAAGCACACACCTGCAGTGGTTAGTTCACTGCAGAGACATCTCCAGGCTTATCCGTGTCCCAGGCTTTTCTTCTGAAGACCAGGGTAATTTTATTTTGCCTAGAACAGGGTTTTTTTGGGGTCACATTCAGACAAGGAACATGACCTGACAACCAACACAGAGGATGATGCAGGGGTGAGGTAAGAGCCAGCCCCATTAGGAAAAGGCTGGACTGGCAGACCAGAACATCACAGCTCACCAGAGATGGTTTTGCCTTTCCATCTGATTAGGGTTTGGGGAGTTAGTTTGGAGTTAGTTTGCTCTTAAAAAAGCATGTGACAAACTGGGTCAACAAAGGCTCTGGAGATGTTGTTCAAATAAATGCTGGTGTGTCAGAATACTGAACAAATGCACCATATAGCTGAAGCAAAAGCTTCCAGGATTGCCTGTGCTTAGAGCCAAAAAGGCTCTGACCTTTTCCCTCTGCACAAAAACTTGGAAATTAACTTTGCTGTGATTCCCTCCAGCCTGCTCCCTGAGAGATCTCACAGCAAATGTGTTTTATGCTGGTCAAGAGATACCATAAAGCTTCATACCTCTCTCCATCAGAGCACAGATAAAAAGGATAAATTGCCCTGAGAAGAGCAGCAAAGGTGTAAGACAGTGACTTACCAGATGATAACCAGCCTCCATAAAACCTGCAAAATGTGACAAATCCCTGTGCTTCTCTGGATCTCTCTCCTATTCCCAGGCACCTCTCCCTCCCCTAGTCCTCACAGGAGCAACATTAACCACTCTAAGTAGGTGTTAGGAAAGAACAAATCACACACAATTTGCTTTTTGTTAAGAGCCCTTAAGAGCTTTTTTCCTGTGTGGGACTCAGTTTATCCCTACTTGAGGCCATGGTAGAAGCTGAGGAGATTCCTCATCTTTTTCTACAGCTGCCCAGACTCTGGCTGTCCAGTTTTGCTTAGCTGACTTAAGAAATAACAGATAAAAGTGATGATTCCAAAGTCAAAAGAAGGCTCAGTCAGAGACCAAAGGAAGCCAGGCAGAGGATGCAAATCCAATTAATATTGAGCTTATAAAATAAGGCTTATTACACTGTCAAGTCTCCCCCACTGAAACAGCCTGACAGAGCAGAGTTTTGTTCTATTGACTGCTCTCTAAGCCAAGCCATGGTTTAGATTAATATATCAGATCATTTACATCTTGTTACTGGCTCACTGAGGAGTAATAAATGCAACTATTACACCTCATCCCTATTCATAGTCTTGCATGCAGATGAACTTCAAGTTTTATACTGACAGGCAGCGAAGTCTGGGGGAAAAGAAAGAATCCAGTTCATTCCCAGGTATTATTGTATGCACAGAGGATTTCTGGTTCTGTTGTCTGCAGCAGCAGAAAGGCTGGTTTATCAAGCAGCAAGCATTTTACAAAGGGTATTATGGAAATGACTGAATAATTCTGCATAATCAAGCCAAATGTTAACTATTCTACCATTTCCTACTACACTCATCAGAAGGAGCTGCAGGGTAGGAACCCAACCTCGAAGCAGCTCGTACACTGATGTTGGCTGCAAGGGACAGGGAATGACATATTGGGGTTCCTTGAGCTATCCACAAGCCTTCCATTTTCCCTAAGTGTCAGGCCTTGGGGGGGAAAAGTAGAATGTGGATTTATTGCTTTAGTTAAGACTCCAGTTCTCATAAAAAGGAGAGAAAAACCCTGACCAGCTCAGAGAATTTACCAGGAGCCTCTGTGTGTTTTCAGACTGGACCCAACATCTCTTTTCCATGGCAGGAAGCTGTGAGCTGCTGCAGCCCCTCTTTAGTGGCTGGAGGGCTCTGCAGAGCACAGCCTGAGCCTCTCCTGTTCCTGTGCTCGGGCCCAAGCACTGCAGATGTGCTCCAGAGCTGCAGAGCCAGCGCCAGGGAGCTGCAGCTCCTCCAGGTCCCTACAGGCAGAGCTGGCTCTGCCCCGACTGAAGAGAGAAGTAACAGCATTTCTACTGCACCAGAAGTTACAGGGGGGAAGTTAATAAAGAACTGATCAATTCCACATCAGATTTGGGCTGCACTTCCCATTGCAGCAGCACAAAGTCTCTTTTGCTGTTTTTCTTGCCTGTCACCCTCCCATGGCACTGATGCTTTCCCCATTCAGGAACTGCAGGTCTGGTTTTCCTCCTGTGGGATGCCCAAATCATAACTTTATTCCACACTCAGAGTGATGGAAGATACTGTAACAGTGATGTGTGTGAGTAAGAGGGAAGGAGGAAGACAGAGGGAACAGGAACCAATTACCCACGGAATGTCCTCTCCCATCTGGAGTGACAGGCAGAGTGCAGAAGGAAAGAAACAGATATTAGTCAGGCATGAAGTGCTGCTGAAGCAATTCCCCAGGACTGGCAGCTCTGATTAACCATTTCCATTTGTCTCATGGACAGACACACACTCCTGCCAGGAGGACAGCCTGGATCTGCCTTACAGGAGAGTCAGGAGCAGCCCCCCAGAGGAGAGGACCATGCTAATACAGCTGCCAGCCCCACTCACTGTGAAGGTGTGGTGGACAAGGGCTGGCTCTTGATGGTGCAAGGGACTTCATGGCACTGCAAACCCCCAATCCTGATCCTAAAGCTGGCAGCTTTGCCTCCTGCTGAAGAGCACAAAGCCTCTGCCTCAGGATGAAGAGCTGCCAGCTTCAGGAGATGAGCAGAGGATGGACAGGGAGTATCAGCCCCCAGAGGCATAAAAGTTCTTCAAAGAGGAATTCTCTTGATTCCCTCCAAACCTATCCTGCCACAACAGCACCCAAGCAGCCACATGGGTCTAAAGAAGAGGCTGCATCAATAAAAGCAGTGCCAGCACCTTTTCCCAAACTGTATCAGCACCTTCACTTTGCACAAGTTGGCTTGGACGGTGCCGCAGCTGCTCTGCAGTTGGAGAGCCTCTGCCCTGCAATTCCAGCCCTGTGGAAGCAGTTATGCTGACTTATGAAGTGTAGCAGTGCTGGAGTTACTGCATTAGGAGGGTTTATTTGCATCTTAAGAGCAGCTTGTAATGAAGTGACTCTGCTGAAGTGTTCATGTGATCCTGAGGGGCTACAATCACTTCTGCAAAATGACGTGAGGCTTTTGGAGCACCAAAAAATAACAGGGAGGGTGGAGCCAGGGACAGAAGCTTCAACAATTACTGCTCAGCAACTGCCTTGCCTTGTGCCCACAGCATAATCAGGGCTTCCAGGGCAGCTGTGCATTTCCTGGGCCACAATTCATGGCTTAACAGGGGACAATTGCCTTCTAGCTGCCTCACACCACAAAGCAGGAGTCAAGCACCAGCTCAAGGTGCTGCCTGCACTCAGTAAGGCAGCAGCAAGGAACACAAGGCATCTCCCTAAGAGGAATGGGGTGAGATGCTGAGAGCAGAGCTGCTGCAGCCCCTTGGTGCAGGCTAACCCTGTGAGGGAGCCCTGAGCTGCGGGCCAGACCGTGCCTGGGCTGCAGGGATCTCACTGCAGACGCTGCTGTGGCTCACACAGAGGCAGCTCAGAGCCTTGTTTGCTGCCTGTTTTGTGTCTCTGCACACCAAGCCAGGATGGCAGAGCACAAGGGCTGCTCTCCAAACTTTGACAGCTGTGTCAAAGCTGCTGGAGGACAGGTTACACTGCCAATACCACAGTCACCAGTTTCATGCACTTGCTGCCGATGCTTTGCACTGCTGAGAGATTTCCATCAGCAACCAAAACTGAGTCCTAACCATTTTCATTCTCCAAAGTGTAAAAAACAAGCTGCTCACAAAGCTCTAGCAGTCCTATGACTGCTAGAACAGCTTTGAATCAGATATGAATGAGTGACCCACCAAAATAGCTCCTTTGCCACACCAGCCCTGCCCCAGCAATGGATTTGTGTCCTTTGTCAGAAATCTGAACAGATTCCTTTATAGCTCATCAAACCTCCACAGCCCAGATGAAAGGAGTCACTCAGCTCCTTGTCAAAGGCTGGAGGAGCACTCTGGGAAAGGATCATCACACCAACTGCAAAAATGGATGTTGGGGCTGACCTGGCACAGCCACTCTCACACTGTAGTGCCAGGAAAAGGTAAATGAAGTAACTTTCCCAAGATTATAGACAGCAAATCACTTGCAGAGCCAGGGGAGGAACGTGGCACCCCAGGGCAGACTGAAGGTCACTTTGGGGCTTTTTTATAAAACATTGGTGAGTCCCTAATCAACCCCAACAGTCCAGGGTGTTGTCCCTTGAGGCCAGACTTTGAATTCTCCACTTGAAAGCAGTCAGTCAGGGAGGGAGGGACACCAGCAGCCCCTGCCCACAGCCTTGTGGATGAGGCAGGCACTTCAGACTGCTGGAACAGGGATTTCCTCCCAGGCTGCTGAGCCTGTGGTGCCCAGGGCTCAGGGTGAGCTGGTGCTCAGCTCCCACTCTCCACCCCACTGCAGTGATGGGACACAGCCCTCAAGGGTGTGGAACAGACCTGTGGGGTTTTGGGGTCAGACCCCCCCCTAATTCCAGCCAGATTGCACAGAGGGGCACAGCCCCACCTGCGACAGCCCAAACCAGTGCAGGCATTACAGAAAACTGTGGATATTCAGTGTTTATCAAACAGCTTTTCTGTTTAGGACATAAATCAACCTGACCAGCTGCCAGTCTCGAATCAATAATATTCTTGTAGATGAGTGGCTGGAGCATTAAATAAAATCCTTACATAACAGACAATCCAAGGCTGTCCATTCCTGCAGATTTACTGCTCTGCCCCTGGGTTTCAAGCCAGCCTTCCTGGCTCCTGGCCACAGTGCCCTGCTCCCAGACAGTGCAGGGGCTCCCAGGAAGCACAGTGTGCACACAGGGCTCTTGGGCTCTCTGGATTTGCAGAACAATTGAACAACACAAAAAAGGTTTAAAGACAAAAATGTCATGTCAGCACAGACAGACATCCTGCAAAGCACTGCACCATTGCACAGGAGCTGGGAGAGTGATTGTAACCTGCATGAAATGCAGCCACTTGAGGGAAAAAAGCATCAAACTCCAGCTCTTGGGATGAACAGCTCTGCACCTAGCAATCTGCTCTCCCACATGTTTTATTTCTCCCTTGTGCAGCTGGAGATCCCAGGTTGTTTTGTAAAGTGGGCTTAGTCACCATTTTATAGAAAAAGAAAATTGAGCAGAGAAGAACAAGATCTGCCCATGGTGGCAAACAAGGGCACAACCTGTTCCCTAGAAAAAAGCTATCAGAAGTCCTACAGCAAGTCTGCTTTGGTCATAAGCAATGCTCCTGTACCAAAGGTCTTTTTTCTCTTCTTTTTAATTGTTAACACATGCTCAGCATCTGTGCATGCATGTTACATTTAATGCCAATTACAGAACTCACTATGGAGATAAAATAAGATTTACTCACTAAAGAAATTAACCTAGCAAGCAGCTGGAGTCTCACTAGTCATGGACATAAATATCTGGCAGTGCTGAGGACAATTCAAATGAACAATATTAATTTGGTGTTTGTGCAGTTTTACACCATTCAACCTCTATTTAAATGCCTGGAAGAAAAATAAAAGCAGAGTTTAAGGAATGGAAATAGAAGGGCATTTTCCATGGAAGTTAACACTGTTGGTCTTTCTGGGTCAGTCCCATTGGGATTTTCACTGCAAGAACATCCCTGTGATGGGACAGCCCCTCCAAGACAAGGGGGCAGAAGAGGGGATCAGCAGATGACACTGAGTGGGTGTGACAAACTGGCCTCTTGCAGACCTCCAGCTGCCTTTGAGGCACTCACAGGACTGAGGCAATGTCCCCATCACAGTGTGTGTCAGTCTGCCCAACAAAGCAGGGGAAGAAATGCATTAAAAAAAAACAAACTTTAAGGAGTAACAAAAAGGGAAATTTCAAAGCAGAACAATTCAGGCATTGCTGGCCCCCAGGTGTTTTTGATCCCTGGTCAAGGGTGAAGATCTCAGCCCTTCTTCAAGGGGCACACTGGGATGTGTCTCACCTCCTTCCCACACACAGAAATCAGGCCTGTGGGATCAGTTTGAGACTGGTTTTGGCATGGCACAAACGTGGTTTAATATTAGCCTGAGATCCAAATGCCAATCCTCTTGGCAAGCCCTGCAGCCCAGGGCACTTCCCAGCAATTTGGGTAATACCAGGTTAGGGTTAACCCAGCTTGAGACTTGTTAAACACATGCCCACAGCAACAAACACACCCACAGATCACATTCACTCACTAATTGAGCTTATTATCCTAGGCTCATTTAGGTGGCAAAAGACCTCCACAGCATTCCACCAGCACTGCCAAGGCCACCACTAAACCATGTCCCCAAGTGCCACATCTACATGATGTTTAAGTGACCCCAGCACTGCCCTAGTGCCCATTCCAGTGCTGAAAACCCTTTTGGTGAAGACAGATTTCCCAATATTCAATTTAAACCTCCCTTGGCACAACTAGAGGCCATTCCCTCTTATCCTGTCACTTGTTATCTGAGAAAAGAGACTGACCAAAGGAAGGAAAAGCTGGAGCTTTGATGCAACAGCCCTCCAATGAAAGCATCCACCTTCAAAAACCAGACCAGGATTCAGATTTTTTTTTAGTGCTTCCCCATCTACTCAGCTGAGAGAGCACTGGCCATGCAGCCCCAGGCACAGCTACTCCCCATCCAGACAGGACCATTTTGGCAGATCACACTCCATAACCCCACGGATGTGCTTAAGGCTTGAGAAAAATATTAAGTAAAAGCCTGCTACCATTTCAACTAACAGCTCCACTGTCAGAGCAGGTCACTAAATTAAGCCCATTAATGCCAGCTGTGAGACAGCTCTTCTCCCAAAACCAAGTTTTACTTCTACTGTGTCCATTTATTTGTGTGACACTAATGAGGAACAAAGGGTTACTGTGAGAGGCCTATGAGGCAGCAGAGAGGAATTTATGTGCAAACCACGCTGTGGTACCCCAGGCAGCACCACCTTCTGCAATGCCTTCATTCCTTAACTCCCAGTGCCAGGTTTTTAGAGGCACAGCTTGCAGTGCAGGGAAAGGCTGCAGAGCTCACTGCTCTGCCCTCACTGCCTGCTTTCCCACAAGTCCAGCCTGGCCATTTTGCTAATCCCCAGCAAGAGCAGTGTCCCTGCTAGCCAAACACCTGTGGTTAAGAGTGCAGAGCCCTCAGCACCTCTGCCCTCTGTGAGGGCCAGTGCCATTAAGGGTTAAATTGTTTCCAGCTCATTATGCCTTGAAGCACTGGAGCTGGAAATGTTTAACATTTGCTTTAGTAAGCTTATGGTGATTTAAAAAAATACATATTTGACTAATAAGGATTTGTTGAATTGGAGGATTGGTTCATCCAGCTGCCTCATACCTCTGTTATTCAGAGCCTGACTCAGAGCTGAAAGTGCACCTGAACCAGGCAGAGACAACCCAGCCCAACCCACCACAAACCAAACCTCAAGCACCACAAACCCACTCCAAGTCTGAAAAACACCCAACTACGTCCCTGGAGCAGTATTTCTTGATTTACATGGTGCAAATACACCCAGGAAAGCTTCCCCCTGCGGGGAAGCCAGCAGGGAGCTGGGCATGTGTGTGCTGTGCCCTTCCAGTCAGCACTCCTCATCCTCACTGCCTCAGACCACAGCACTGCCCTGCTGCTGCTCCCTGCTAAGTGATTTTGTCACTGCAGCTCATGCCCAGCTCCCTCCCCAGAGCAGAGGGGAGGTGGGATTGCTCTCACTGGAGCCTGACCCTGTTAGTGCCAGGGCAGGTGCCTGGTGAACAGCTCTGGCACAGGGAGCTCCCTCTTGACCTCACTGCAATTAAAATGTCACTGATATTGAACCATGGCATGCTCTGGAGAATACACAAATGGGAAGACACAGGGTTACAGCCTGAGAGCTTTAGCACTGAAATTCAGGAGGGCTGGGAATTGGGTGGAATAAATGTCTTCCTGAAAGGGAGCCTGATTCAAATAGAAAGCAGCAAAACACTTTTACATCCTTAAAGCAACTTTTTGGTTTTCTTCTACAGACAGAAAAAGCCCAGAACAAATATATCCACTGACCATGGGGATTCTACAGCATGCAGCAACATTCATTGCAGAGCAGGAAAAGCCTGCTGCAAGTTGGTACAATAACTCTGGTTAAATCCTCCTGGAGTTTCAGGACTCAGCACTGGGAGCTCGGCTCCCTGAGCATTAAAAGCACAAATGATCAAGGCTCTGCAGAGATAAGCACAGCTCCAATTACCTGCCATCAGCTAAAGAGGATGTGCTGCTTACCAAGCTGTCCAGCCCTCCTCCCAGGAGGTCCACAGCACCCATCTGCATGGTGCACACTTGGGGCACATTGACAGGGGGCCCCAGGTCCAGGTTGAGGAGGTCCCCCAGGAGGTCACCCTGGGTTGGGATGACCTGTGGCTGCTCCAGGTTTGTGGCGTTCATGGTGCCCACGGGGCTGTCACCAGCATCAGTGCTGTGGGGGGAGAAGAAGAAGCACAAAAGACAAATATCAGTCACCTCTAGTCTCCAGTTCAGGTTCCCAGCATGGGGACACACAACAAGAGGTGGCTCAGCAGCAGAAGGCAGGCAGAAGCTGGTGCCAGCAGCTGCTGTGGCCACTGTCCTGCACCAGGCAGGGCTATGGCACGTGGCTCTTCAGCACCTGGAGCACAAAGATTTTCCCTGCATTGGATGTGGTTTTCAGCCCAGCAAATGGAATCTTGCAAGGGGTCAATCCTGCCCACCCAGAGAATCAGAGCATCCAAAACAGAGCCATGGGTACCACATGGGCTACAGAATTGAAAAGAAGCATTTCCTACCTCAGAAGAAACCTGAAGAGATTATTTCCAGCCCATTGGGACTGAGAATGACATGAAAACAAAGGGAAAAATAAATAATCCAGATTTTCTCATAGATCTAACATTGATAAAACCCTTGAGCCCTTACTCTAAGCAGTGCAAAGTCCACCACTTCCCTCAGATCTAGATTAATCACCTTCTCCTGACCAGCAGCAAGGTCCATCAGTCTTTCCTAATTGAAAAACTCAATCCAAAATTGATTCCTCCCTTCTATCAATAATTTCCTTTCCTCTGAGTTAGCAGGCATGCTAATTACTAGTCTAGAAACACTCATTATACAGCTTCCAAAATTTATCATCATATGCAGTCTGGCTACCTTTTATATCTTCTATATCCACTTGTCACTGAATTTGATAACAAGGAGAGTGTAAAAAATAACTGTAGCTCCTGGGGAGCTCACTACAATGTATTTATTCTTTAACTCCAGAGATGCTCATATTTTAGATAATTAAAATCTATTTTATATCCTGTTTCCAGCAGTAACTGAGGAAATGATTTCTAGCTCACAGCTGTTACTGCAGCCAGCAGGTAAGTGCCCACAATTGCTGTGGGAATTAGTGTCCTGACAAGGTGTTTAACACTGGGGCTGTTCTGCAAGCACTGCAGCTTCTGATTCTGAGTAGCCAAAATTCTCTTATCCTCATTCAGCTATTGAGGGGAAAGATTCAGTGACAAAGTATGAGTATAAGCTAATGCCAGTGTCAGGAGGAAAAGATGGAGCATAAGGAGTGCAGAATGAATTAGTTACCAGGCAGCAGCAGGAAGGCTTGAAAGCTTCTTTGCATTGAAAGCTTTAGAGCCCCAATAGCACTAATATTAGCTGTCCTTTCTGCTGCTGCCTTCAGCAGGGAGAGTGCTGAGTGTGCTGAAGTGCTCACTGGAGCATTCCTGAGGAGAGGTGGTGGCTGTGATCCACTCCCACCCCCAGGCTGGGAACAGGAACAGCCTCTCTGAGAGAGGCACATCACAAACCACTCAGCTCCTTCCCAGGATATAATCCCTCCAACACTCCACCCCTTCAACACTTACTCATCTTCTCCTGATGGAGACACAGAAGTCCCTCCATGTCTTGTGTAACTGCTGCTGCCCCAAAGCCCAACAAGAAATCAGGAGAGGACGAAGCTCAGTTGGTTTGTTTGAAAAAAAGCAAAACCCCAGACTTCCATTTGTAAAGAATCTCTTTAAGGAGATTCCTATAAACAACTTTGGATTTTCTTTGAAAGAAAATAAATTAATAAATATGTGGGTTAAAAAGGGCAAAAAGACTTGATACAAGCTTTCCCCCTTACAGTCTTGGGTTTGGCCATGGGAATTGGAGATTTGGCCCTGTGAGTTCAGCCTCCAGCAGCTCCCAGATGTTGGAGTCACAAGGGATGCACAGCCTGAACCAGAATCAAAAATTTTCTGCAGCCACCTGTGAAACAGGGAAATAATGACTCCTGCCCAAGTCTAATCAGACTTGCTTCTCCCAGGAGCCCTGTTAACATCTCCCCAAATTTCCAGCTGAATTCTGGCTGAGCAGGGGTGGTGGGAGTCACCACAGGAGGAAACACTGCCAAGCCATCAGACTTCTCCCCACCCTCAGGATACATCTGCAGCTCTGTGGCACTTGGGGTCTCTGGAGAGGCAGGAACATTTCACCATCTGGGAGCTGTTCAATGGGTCTTCCCATCAGCTGAGAGCTGCAAGAAACCTGCCCCACAGTGCTCTGAATGGAAAATGAATCCATCAAAATGCCATGGAGGGTGTTCTGCCAACCACAGCTCCTGCTGGGTTTATACCCAGGGAAGCACCACTCAAGGCAGTGCTCTCTTGACCCTCTTAAACCACATTCATTGTGGACATCTCCCCATTCCCACCAGTCTCTACCACAAGGATCAGCCACCAGAATGGTCACTGGAGTGCAGGAGTTGTACAGAAAATCACCTCACCTCACTGTTTGGAATGATCTTTCACTGGGCACCCTTAATTAGCTTTAAACTGATACAGAAAACCTCAATACTGGGGCCTCTTGAGGTGAGCTCCCACCAGAGAAGCCTGGTGTGCCATTAACTAACCCCACTCATTTTTAAATTTATCACTGCATCAGTATGATCAGTGTGCAGCACGCTCTGCTGAGCATCCCTCAGACATTCCCCCAGCCTGCACTGCTGCCTGAGGCCTGGAGGTTTGTTTTCTGAGGTTTTTTGAAGCAATGGTTCTGCCAAAGTCAGAAAATACTTCAGGTCAGCAGACTGAGCATGAGCAACGAGAGTCCAACACAGAGACACTACATGCAAGAAGATAATAAACTGCTCCTTCAAAAAGCTGAATTCTCTGAGCTAAATCCCCTAAAATGCTATTTTCTGTAGTGACCTGGAAAAACTGTGTACAGGAAGGCTGGTAACACCAAAAAACAGCTCATTTTGAGACAAATCTTTGATTATGAGAGGTAGGAAAGTGGCCACTGCTTTTCCTGCCCAACTGGTACACTTGTACTTGCTGATTCTAGGTCAGTGCAGCCAGACTTGATTTCAGGCAGGGAGAAAACAACTCAGCTTCCCAAAGCCAGCCACCACAGAAATAGCTTTAGCTGCTAAGAATAGCAGAGAAGTGGTGTCAGAAAATAGAAAAGAAGCAGCATCGCACTGATTTATCAGTGCAACAGCAAAAAATAGCTCTCCAAATGTCACTTTGGGAATATTATTAAGAGGTAAGCCTGGCTACTCTGCCTCTTGCAGGAAAATACACTCATTTTTGTAATTAATACCATTAGTGCAAATAGCAAACTGTTCACCTGAATGAGGGACCATGGGAAGAGGCCCATCAGCAGCAGGGCCCAGCTGGGACTGAGGCACTGCCTGCTCTTGCAGAGCTGACCTGCTGCCAGAGCTGTGATCCCAGGGAGGCACTGAAGCACCAGGCAACGAGCCAAAGCTTTTCCCCCACCTCACAAAGGTCATGGCAGTCTACCCATCTTTTTTGAGCCCTAACAGGCTTAGATGGCTTTTGCACTTCCCTTGCTTTACAGGCAAGTGAGAAAGGAAGTTTTACCAATCCTTCTCCATTTCATGTTGCAGGATCCCTGTAATTCCTGTTCCAGGAAAGTGCTGCTGCATTCCAGGAGACAGGCTCATAAAGCTGAGCTGCTGCTGAAGCAAAGCTCCTACAAAATATTCTTCTGAAAGATGCCTGCTCTCACTCTAGTCCTCCTTGCACCAGTCACCCAAAGCTTCTGCTTTTCTACTCAAATTCATGTCAAGACCACATCTTCTCAAAAAAATCCCAGCTCCTCCTCACCCAGGAACTTTGATACTTCCTGTGTCTTCTGACCCAGGAACCTGGACACTCCAAAGCCAGGATTACATTCTGCAATGAAACAGCCCCTTGAACGCCCTGCAAACTATCAACAAAATTCCTCTAGCATCTTTTAAAAGATCTTGGCATCTTTTGGAGTGTTTGCTAGAAAGAAACAATCAGCCATGATCCCCAGGGCTGCCTGAGCTCACCTCCCATGGTGGATTGGCAGGTGCTTGCGGTGGATGCCGTGGCTGCCCTCCACGAAAGCGTTGGGTGGTTTGTGGTACACAGAAGCCAGAGACCCAATGTGGCAGATCAGCTCATCCAGCAGGGTTGGCTCAATCAGATCAGTCTCCTCAGAAATCAGTGGCTTTTCTGAGAGCACCACTTCCTTGGCAGTCACTGGATCCGTGGAAAGAAGGCGCCAGTAGATGTAGCCACGATCCCGCAGGTCTGGGTTGTCAGAATCCTGAGACAAAGCAATGCATCACTCACAGGTCTCAAGGCAACTAAATCTGTAATCACTTTATTCTTCTGGATTAAAAATCCCCAACCAGCCCGCAGCCACAGCCACCAATTTCACAGCCATCATTTCCAAAATGATGTTACAAACTGCTTGTTGAGATGAACATCTTAAAATTAAAAATGAGAATCAAAGTATTAATGCCTGGCTTCCTGCTCAGCTGGTCAGGGAGGAGAAATCCCAGGATTTACACCCCACAACTGCCCCAAACCACAGAGCTGCCAACTCCTTCCAAACTTCCTGCCACTAAAAAGAGCATGACTAGTGCACACTAAGAGCAGACACACAAAACTGTATAATGATCCAAGATTCCTGGAAATATGACTTTCCCAAGGCACTGCTGGACAAAAAAGATGCTGCAGAGCCACATCTTAATAAGCCATATTCTTTATAGCAAAAGAGATCTTAATTTATCCTGCCTTTTAGTTATCTAATGAAGTATGGAGAGATGCTAATGATACACACTTAGGGTACTTCATCAGTTCTCCAGCTGTCAATAATACCCTTGTTTTATTGCAGATACTTTTGCCTCTGCATGAAGTGCTAATTATTTCCCTCGTCTTTGAGCAGCTCTGCCCAGAGCAGCAAAGTGACTGGGGATGGTTTGCTGATAATGTTCTAGGGAGAGGGAGGTGCTGTGGTTTTACGTTGTAGTGAATTGTTCATGGAAACAAGAGCTCAGATTTTTAATCTTCATATCAGCAGAATAGCAGGAGAAATGTTAGAGGTTTTTTTCCCAGTGATAAAATTCCAGCAAAATATTGTACACCTCACTAGCCTTTCTCTTGGCATTTCCTTTTCTCTTCTGTGCTCTCATTGCTGCCCTGTTAGAATCTGCATCTGCCATCTGCCTCAAGACATTCTCAAACCTCTTCTTGGAATGAGACTGAGCTCAGCTCATTTTGCTTGTAAGGACCTAAATTAATCTCTCTGTTGTCTCACACATTATCTCTGCAGAGCTGGTTTGGTTTGATGGTGGAATTGTGGACTCTTTACACTTTAACAATCCCTCCCAGACTCTGCACTCAGGATCATGCAGGGTTTCTGCAAGGGCACACATGAAAGGCTACACTCTCCTACTTGCAGGCACCTACAGATTCAAGACTGACTGTTTCTTCTCACAGCCAAAAAAACACACTGGAAACTGGTAAACCTGTTGAAAAAAGAGGCTCAAATCTCTCTCAATTTCTCTCCTCTCCAGGGTCTGCATGCACACCTGTGGAGCAACACAACGAACCCTGGCTAGCCCAGCTCCCCACCCAAGCATCAGCAACGGGGATGCAGAGGTCTGAGACCTCAGTTCCTGTGTTTCTGCCAGCCCCAGCTGCTCCACTGCTATTTTTACCAGAGCTGGCTGGATGAAGCTGGCTCCTGCTACAATCCCACCTGCAGTCTGCTGTGCAGACAAGCCCCGAGACACTCAAAGTGCCACAATACCTAAGCTGGGGAAAGAAACACACGTGTAATTACTCTCCCACTCAAGTGAAAAACACCATCTCTACCTAGAAATCAGACCTTGAAGCACAAGGTTTTTCAATGTTTTACAGCCAGTTATCCTACACTGACTTATTATTCATATAAAATACAAAAAGCCAGACTGAATCAACACTTGTGACAAACAGAGAAACAAATCCAGACGCCTGTTATATTCTGAGGGTGCCATTAAATGTTTTGTGAGTCAGCACAGTGGGTTTTAGCACTTAGTACCTTTCTCCTGTTGGCTCAGGCAAATGATACAGCATGCCCTTGGCCCACTCCTCTCTGAAGAGCAGCTCAGATCCTGCCTAATAGCAGATTTTGAACAAGAAAAGCAAGTCATGGGTTTGTTGCTGCTGACCAATGCAACTCCACAAAGGAATGAATAAAAATTTTAAGCGCAGCAAATCCACAGCCGCGATTTCTTGCAGCAAAGAGGATCAAAAAGGCCAGCTGATGATTGACTCCAGGTTTTCTGCTCAGAAACAATCACAGCCCATTCAGCTGGCAGACTATTTTTATCACTTGACACAGCAGGTCTGGAGAGGAGCTGGTTTTTTGGGCACTTTACCCCAGTCACTGCAGCCCAGGAGCGTAGGAAGATCAGCTCTTGCCCAGCCCTGCCACCAGGACATCACCTCTGTCCTCTAGAACTACAGCAGCTGTGTCTGCCAGCTCAAGCCCAGCCTTGCCTGCAGTGATCTGAGCTCATAACTCAGCATCTCATACATAATGAATCCATGATCTTAACCCACTGCTACAGCCTCCAGCAAAGCTGCCACACTGGCTGACAGCATCCAAGTACAAAGGCAAAAACCCCAATCCTTGGTTCTTTCTTTTTCACAGCACTGCTTAAAGTTTGCTGTTCACAGAACAAAGTCTCTGCCAGGCTCTTTGCCTCCGTTATAGCTCCAGATGTTTCACTGCAAGCCACCTTCAAGGAGAAGGAATTTTGATTTCTTGATAATTCTACACTGTCCCTAACTTGCCATTTAGTGAGTGAATGGGGAAGGAATAAAATAAAGATAAAGCAAGAGCAAAGAAGGAGAAAGCAGATTCCAGATGGTAACAGGCACAGAGCAGCTTTTAAATAGAGTCTGTTTGGGAGAGAAGGAACACCCTTGAATCTGATCTGCTGCAAAGCTGCCTGGCCTGGCAGCTGGGAGACATCACACAGCAGGCCAGCAGAGTGTCTGCAGGGCTCTGGGTCACTGGATACCTTGGCTTACCTGTGTGGCCAGGCTGAGGACCTGCTGGACCAGCTCCTGTGTCTCAGAAGGCTTTTTCAAGAACAGCTTCACTATTGCAGTCAGGAGGGTGAGCTGCACCTAAGAGAGAGGGGCACAGGAGAGATTAGAAATTCCTTTACTGGTATTAAACATGGTTTCAGTTTCCTCACAGCATGACACTGCTCTCTACCAGTGAAACCCAGTAGAATGAGACTGACTCTTGCCTGTTGCAAAACACTTTCACAGAGAAGTCCCTGAGCAGCAGGCTGAGGTTTGTGTCATACCCCATCACTGTCTAAGTTCTGGTCCCCAGTACAGCCATTCCCCCAAGACATATGCAACCTCTGGAACCCGCTCTTGTCCTTCCAAGATGGGAATTTTTGGAGATACAGACAACAAAGCAAAACTGCAGATTCCCAAGAGTTTTATTTTAGCCCAATATTGAAGCTTTTATCGACAAGTATTGTTTGACCACTGCAATAACATTTACTGTCCATCCCATAAACACACTGCACAAAACAACTACAGATAAAATGCACATTGCAACTTTACCTGAGTGCTTTCATCGTGGAAACCCTCCAGGAAACTCTCCAGCAGCTCATCTGCATTGTCAATTCTTTCAGCATATTCACCCACTATCCAGATCATGGCAGCTCTGGCATCTGGCTCATCCAGGGAATCCAGGTTCTCACACAGAGTGGCAATGATGCTCTCATACCTGGTTTGTCAGAGTACAGGTGGATTACTGAACTTTCACTCCATTTCTGCCCCAATCATTCTGCACTGAAGTCATGTCTTGTGTTTCTACACAAGCAGCATTTCATTCAACTTTTTTTTTTTTCCTCCCAAAGCTGAGCACTGAGATCTCACAGGGTCATTGCAGTTTAATCCATCAGCAGGACCACCAAGATGTGGAGTTGAAGACAAAGCTGCCTGTTCTGTTCTGTCTGCTAATGTGAATATTTGATTCAACAGTTCAAACCATGAGGCTGAATCAGATCCTGCAGCCTTGCTGGAGGCTCCAGCCTGGTAACTCTAAACTGGGTATTGCACTCTCCCCAAGGCTTTATTGTAAACCAGACCATATCCCACACTAATTTAGCTTTCCCTATTCCCATGTGTGGGTATCCCCACAAAGCAGAGAGTGACAGCAGAAATTGCCAGGGAAGCCTGCAGATGTCCCATATTATTTTTCAGGTGATCATGAATTCTCTGCTGAAAAACACTGTTGCAGTTCTTTGGCTGAGACAAAATCTTACTGCAGAACCAAGACAAGCTGAGTTCTGCCCAAGCCAGAGGGAACACTTGGAGGGAAAAACCAGCAGTGCTTTGTTCAGCACAACCTGACTGGATCTCAGACCATGGGAGCCATGAACTTTCACAGCCCTGTGAGGAGACTTGTACACTTCATGGATTTCTAGAGGGGATTAAAACCAGAATAGCCTGATGCTGTAAACTTGGCCAAATTTTCCTTCTGGCAACCTCTACAAGAACTTTACCTGCTTTTAATCCAGGCTTCAGTATAGAGTGGTGGGGAAGGAAAACCTTTCAATTCAAACTAATAAGCCAGGCTGACACCTCATTTAGAGCCAACACCTCAATCCTACCAAACTAGGAGTGGGATCACTGCTTCCCCCTTGGCTTCAGAGCCCTGCTGAGCTGAGGTCTGCTCTATTCTGATGATGGCAGCCAAGTGCTTCCCAAAAACCCTGAGGCCATTTCCACCTACTTGTTGGGGTACTTGCGGAAGATGTCCCTGATGACCACGATGGCCTCCTGCACCACGTAGTTCACCTTGGTCTGGATGAGGTCCAGCAGTGTGCTCACACAGCGCTCTGCAGATTGCTGGAGACAGCAGAAAAACACAATTAAAAAAGCTGAAGCAACACTCCTGCTCCCAGAGCACACGCTGAGGAACATGGTATGTGTATGAGAAAAGGCCCAGAGGACAAGAGCTACAAACTCTGTCCAGAAATGAACTACAGGGGAACAAAAGGTTGTTACAGTGGGGACACCAGCTGGCTCCAGCTCCTCTAGAAAGTAAGAGAAGCAACTGAACCAGCAGAAAGTTGGTCACCACATGAGAAAGCTTGAGAACATCACCTACACTGCTATTTGTATCACCCTGGAGCTGCTACAGGCCACTACAGGAGCAATCTGGGGCTCCCCATGCCAGGCAATCAGAGCTGGGAAAGCTCTGACAGGGACTGCAGGAAAGTTTCTAGCAAAGCCAGAAGGCAGGAGAAAACAGTGCTGTCAAAACCAGCAGCAAAAAGCAGCTCCCAGCAGCAACAGGTTCAGTATTTTTGGGGTGAGATCACTAACAACATGTGAAATGTACAGCTAAAAATAGAAATTCAGCTGCTCCTAATGCAGCTTTCAATTAATTAGTTCAATTCACAGGCACTGCAAGATAACAAGGACTGGACACTGTCATGCTCCAGGAACCAGGAGTGGAGCTAGAGGCAGATAATTCAGGGAGGTCTATTCCCAAACAGCACAGCGAGGCAGGACATCACAGGAGCAACCAACTCCAGCAGCAGAGAGTCTCAAATAAGGGCAGTGATTTGGTTATTAGCAGAGCACACATGAAGCCTCATTACACAGCTGGTGATTAATGTGAGAAGCAGACTGCTCCCAACACTGCCTTTGGAACACTCATAAAGGATTCAGGCTGGAGACAAACACTGTGGGGCACAAACAACAGCAATGTAGGTGGATTTTTCAATTCCAGTGAGTTAACAGCTCCCTTGACTTACAGAGCACTTAAAGGCTGGGCAGGAGGAGGAGGAGGAGGAGTGGAATGGCATTTTAGTCACAGGAATAGGTTCTTTGAGAATGGGCAAAAATCTCAAGGACAAACCTCAAGAATTTGGGTCAGAGACTAAAACCTTCTGGCAGTTTCCTGCCCTCCTGGGTATCTCACACAGGGCCTGTCAACACAAACAGGCTGACAAGAGGATCAGCCAAGGGAGGATCACCACAAACCAACACTTGCTCTGTCTTTGCAAACTGGCAGAAGTCATAAAACTCTCCCCTGAAATTCACACCAAACAGAAAAAAAATCCAATACAATTGGTGTCAGAGAGGCATCACATAAAATGGGTGATTGCTGTAATATTCTTTTATGATACCTCTCCCTCCTTAGCTCAGCTTTATGGGTACTATGGCACTACAGAGGCACTGAATGGCAACCTGACCATGTCCTGCTCTGATCCCTTCTGCTCCAGGAGGGATTTGAGGCTGTGACCTGGAAGACACTTCCACTTCATGGGGACTGACCATGGACCTGGCTCCACACACTGACCTGGCTCACAGTGGGAGCCCTGCTCAAAGTCCCTGCAAGAGAGATGCTCCAGAGCTTCAAATTTCACCTCTTCATCTCAGTAGCTTTCATCTGATGTTTTAACAAGTGACCTGATGGGGGTAAATCTGTGCCACATCCATTCTACAGAATCTACAGCACCAGTCACTGCTGGCAACAAGCAGTGCAGCCCTGTCAGAGCCTGCAACTAACAGAGCTTTAAGAGCTGTACAATTCAAGGAAAAACAAATTAAAGTTTAGTTTTCTTTTCTTTAGATGCCTTGAAGCATAATTTCTTCCAGGAAAAGCACAACATCCACTTGACTTCCACTTCATGGGGACTGACCATGGACCTGGCTCCACACACTGACCTGGCTCACAGTGGGAGCCCTGCTCAAAGTCCCTGCAAGAGAGATGCTCCAGAGCTTCAAATTTCACCTCTTCATCTCAGTAGCTTTCATCTGATGTTTTAACAAGTGACCTGATGGGGGTAAATCTGTGCCACATCCATTCTACAGAATCTACAGCACCAGTCACTGCTGGCAACAAGCAGTGCAGCCCTGTCAGAGCCTGCAACTAACAGAGCTTTAAGAGCTGTACAATTCAAGGAAAAATTAAAGTTTAGTTTTCTTTTCTTTAGATGCCTTGAAGCATAATTTCTTCCAGGAAAAGCACAACATCCACTTTAAAATAAACAGCAATGATTTTTAGCCAGAGTCCCTTGGAAAGTGGTGGGCACAAGCCCAGAAGAGCAGTCCCTCTAACCAAACCCATCTCAGCTCACCCCATTCCTTGTAAACACACTGCTTTTTGAAGGTGAACATCCCTGGGGACAGCAGAGCTCTGCAAACTGATGAAAGAGTGCCCCAACTCAAACAGCTTTCAAGTTGGAGTGAGGAAGGACAAGCAACCAATGTCAAAATTGCTTTGTTTTTCTGCAGAAACCAAATGAAAGCCCAAAGATTATTGAAGTAGCACATAGCACACTCAGCCATAAGCCTCAATGATTTCTAAGAACCAGGCTGCTGGCAGAATCTCTTGGAAACGAGACAAATATCCCTGTAAGATGGCTCCTTCTGCTTCTCCTTTGCTCCAGAGGAATCCCTATCTTTACTGCATCCACTTCATTTCCTTTTCCCACAGGAGTGCTGCTTGTTTTCCTGAAAACCAAAGCATGGCACGATGGTGTCTTGTGATGCTGCCACTGGAGCAAACCAATCCACAAGGCAGACAAGTGCAGCTACACCACAGTTTGCTGTAGATAAACCCAAGCTACCTCTGAGCTCAGCTATCAATAATCCAGCCCTATCCATGCAAAATGTTTTGACATCCCCCCAAAACAATGTGACTGCTCAAGCCTGGGCAAAATCTTGCTACTCAGTGTGGGTGTTGGTTCCATATCCCAAACCAGCACCAAGAGCAAAGGGAATACCACATTTGCTTTGCAGGGCACCTCTCAGCAGACAAATTTATTTCTGTCTCACTCTCCTAGGAGTGACAATTAGACAAAAGATAGGATCCCTGAAGGCAGAGCTGAGGTGCTCTGTGAATCCTCGTTCATCAACAGCTCCCACTGGCTGTGTCCTCTGTCAAAAAATGAGATTTCTGAGCTTTGGGAACTTGGACACTGATGGCTGTGAGGATGCTCTCCCATTAGTCATAACTCACAGTGTAAACAGCCTCTAGTAAACACAGATGCACTGGGGACAGGGATTAACCTAGGGATGAGGAACAACTGTCATGGTATCTCTTTAAATCTGGTTCTTGTCAGAGCAGGAAACAGACCTCACCCTTAGCAGCAGCATCTTCAGTGAGCAGTGCCAAAAATCAAGGTTAAAATTGCTAGTGGAGAGGCACAATTAAAATTATGGGGTCACTTGGACATTATCACTAGTCCTTTGCTTATCAAATGTGACTGTGGTGATATCAGAGATGGGGAAAAATGTGGGGGATGAGGGCAGGAAAGGGTAAAAACTTCTAGAAACACCTTGATGCTGCAGGAATACACCACCTTCAATGTGCAACTAGGACAGGCACAGGGCTACAAACCCTGCTGAGTACTAAAACCAATTCCCACCCTGCCAGCACAGCACTGCTCCAGAAAGCACTGTCACCAGCTCCTTTTAAACTTCTCTGTAGCCCTTTTCCATGCTCAGGGGGGTTTTCTACAGTCACTGCTGTGGCTCCATCCAGACAGGTTCCTGCCTGGATGCAGCGTGGAAGGAGTGCTCTGGTATTCTGAAGTGCAGATATGGAATAGAAGCAGCAGCCCCTGCTCCATGGGGCCATGCTTCAAAGCCAGCCCCTGGCAGTGACAAACCTCTGAGAGCTGAAGGAAGGAAGAGAGAGCTGCACAGAAGGGCAGCTGATCCTCTCCAGAGGACAGAAGTTGGTGTCCCCTGTGCACAGGCTTGCAGTAGTTTAGCTGAAACAAGAGAATCCTGTGCACTGACACCACACTAAGGCAGGCATGATTAGGTTATTATTTAAATCTGCTGTCAGGCAATGCTCATGGGAACACACTTGAGCAAAAGCTAAATGAGCTCAGCTGAAATTAGAGCACTTTATGTGACATTTTGCACTCAGTCATCAGTTTACTGAAAAGTACCAACACCACAGCACAAATCTTCCCCTTTTTCACAGGATTCTGATCTCCTGACAGGCATTTCAGATTCACTTACAGCAAAATTAACAGACATCACTAAAAAAACAATATTCTATTATGAGCACTTAGGTGGATGTTCCACTGGCAGAGGACATTTCAGACTTGTTTTGGATAACTGCAGAGGTTCCTGGGAACTTGTTTGCATAAGCACTGAGGTAAAAGACAGCACACTCCAAATGAAGCCACAAGTTATATGGATTTACGTAAGTAGAGTCACCCTGTTTGTATAAATAGCATTTAAGTGCCCCAAATCTCTGCAATTCTCTGCCTCTGTCTTCTGTTCTTCTGAAATGAAGGGGAAGGATGACACAAAATGCTTCATAATACTGAGTTTCTCTATACAATATCTTCTTCTTCCCCCTTCAAAAGGTCAGGCCACAGCTTTCAAAGGATTTGGATGAATAAGTGGTCATTGCTCCACTAAAGCAAATAAAAAAATAAAATATTCCATCAAGGATGAATGACCTGCCTTGCTCTGCCTGCAAGATGAGAGGAGCACCCCATCCTCCCATGATGCCCTCACAGCTCACACCCTGCTCAGTGCTGCCCTGCCCATAACCAGGATGTATCCAGGCCACTTGAGGGCCACCACCGAAACTGCAGCACCATGGACATGAGGTGGCACAGCCCATCATTGTTTCTGAAGACAGGGAAGCACACAGAAGCTCCAGGGTGAGATACTTGCCTCCACCTTGATGGCACAGCGGCCGATGGCGCGCACGGCCTTGCGCACGAAGTCGACGTCCACCTCGGTGGCGTATTCCTTGAGCTCTGCCAGCACCTGTGGGGACACCACACCACTGTCAGCCCCTGGGACACTCACAGAGCAGCCCACCCTCACAGGTGGTGCTGCCTGGGCACCAGAAGATGAGCAGGATATTCTTTCACAGCTGCCACACACATCAGACAAACTCTGCCATCAGCCCACTGGGTTGGTGACACCAGTGTGTAATCCAAACTGGTGTGGGTTACACTTGGTGTAGGCTGGGCAAAGTCAAAAGGTGGCCTGCTCTTGATTATTTTCAACCCCCCTGAACAAGAGCTGAGGAAAAATCAGCCCTACCAAACTTCAAGGTTTTTATTCCTTCCTACACTGAAATAACATTTGCTGTGTGCAAAGCTCTCAGCAGCAACCAATTTCGACTTTTCCTTTTCTGTGCTAAGATGAACCTTTGGATCCCTGGTGAATCCAAACAGAAGATGCAGAGGAGATCTGAGGACACCCTGGAACATCCATACACAGATTAATAACAGCATGAAGATACTTCCCCTTGTAAAACTAAGATTTATTATTTTGTCTCAGTGTTTTTGCTAATGGAAAGCGATGAAGGGCTAAACCCAGGATCTGCTGGGATCTTACAGACCTTTAACTAAAAACCTTTGTCTTAAATCACTTAGCTTACATAAAATTATTTCAAGAAAAGACCATATGTAATTTATATTCCCTCAAAAGCTCAATTTATTTCAGTTTCTCATGCCAAACATGACATCAGGGATTTAATCGTGATGTCACAAATAGATGGTGAGGGAGAGGGGAGCAGCACAAAGCCAGACAGCCCTTTGAAAAATCTCCCATCCAAGCAAATTGCTTAGAAGAATGACAAGATAAAGAGGCCATGAAGGGCCAGACTGCAGACAGATAAATCTGCAAGGAGGAGACAGGACATCTGTGTTTTGAAGTTTTATTATTTCCTTGGATGATGTACACTGCACAGCACTTGGAGCACCTGCCTTCAGCAGCTGATGCTTCCCAAACACTGCCCAAGGCCTGGGCTGGAGCCACCCTGGTGCCTTGCTCCAGGATGGGCACAGGGGTGGAGAATCTCCACCAGCAGCACAGGGGGATGTGGGTGGAAGCTGCTCTCAGGTCTCATTCCAGGACATATTCCTGCTAATGCCTGTGCTGTTTTATGAATGCCTCCTCAGAAGCTGGAGAGATTCATTCATTAGTCTGCAGATCTCAGACTGCCCTCCAGACACCACTGCCTTTCATGCAAACAGCCCATATTCTTGGAACATTATAAATTCAAATTGGTGTGGAGTCTACCAAAAGTAAAGAGAAAATTCTGAATATGTTCACATAGAAACTGATTTTAAAAATATTTTCCATGCCCCAGCACAAAAAGGGCATGAATTACCTTGCTCAGTTCCAAAAACCATCAGGAGAGAGCTGAAGGAGCAGCTTCAAAATGTCACATGAAATGAAATTGTTCAGTGACAATTAGGCTAGGACAATAATAGCACTAACCAGAGGCATTAATCATTCTGCATTAGTGTTAGGCCTCATGGCCAGCAGTGCACTCGAGAACACCTCCTCCAAGGAAAGGGTCTGCATTAAACCAACATCAAATACAAGAAGAATCTACACTGTGAAGTCAATCTCAATTCAGTTCAGCTTCAGCTTTGTGCTATTCCCACTCTGGAAGCAAGTTAAGCAAAAGGAGGATTTTTTTTAGCTCTGAAGAGTGCCTGTGCAAGCGTTATAACAATTTCACCAACTTGAAATTCACACTTCAATAATGTTTGGCCTTTCTGAATGCCTCCCTTACAGGCACACCCCTCTCACTTGAAACAAGGCTCTCGTTCCAACCTCAGCACTGGCAGTGACTCATTTGACAGGATCCATGAGTTCTCCTCCTGGAATTGTCATCAGTGAAACAAGATCCACCTCACGGTCACGACGCATCCATGCCACGCTCTTAACATTTCAGTTCTGGGGGAAACTCCACCACCTCCCATTAGAGAACTCACAGAGCACTCCACCAGGCACAGTGATGCCTAAAAGTGATGCTGAGTAGCTGCAAACACCCTCACACAAGGAGCAGGGCAGGGTTCTCCCCTCCCAGAGCACAGCAGGAGTGCCCCAGCTGACCTGGGCAATGTTTGCTTGCGAGGCCAGGCGGATCATGATGTCCAGTTTCTCCAGTTTCACATAGATGGGGTCGTTGTACTTCACAAAGAACACTTTGATCTCCTGCTTCAGGATTTCAGGCCTGCAGGGAACATAATGTTGTCACACAAGAGTGGTAAAACACCCAAACCATTTTAACAACAGGCATCTTTTCTTTAGAAATCTCCCCAAATATCCACTGAGGAACTGAATGATGTCATTTTGCCCTGCTTGACCAGGAAGGTCATGGACTCCCCATCCCTGGAAGTGTTCAAGACCAAACTGGACAGGGCTGTCAGTAATTTGAAATGTGAAACCTGCAGAGGAAGCTGGAACTGGAGGATCTTTAAGGTCCCTTTCAACCCAAACCATTCTCTGACTCTGATTTTATGCCTAGGATGTGCAAACACCAACCTGAAGAAAGAAGTCTGGTCAAAAAGATTATTTAGATGCAAAAATGCATAATTCAAGTCTTTCTATGCCATATCTCTGCTTCCTCTATTTGAGCTGCTGAACCAACCACGACAGGCAGTGAACAACAATATTTTCAGTGAAAGAATAATAGAAACATCCTTATCTCAATGCAAAACCCACAAATTCATTTCCACTTTCCTTGCAACATACCAGTGCACAGTAACTGCCCTAATATAATCACAAAGAGCTGTCCAAGCTATCTCACCTTTCCAGCAAGGATCAGCAGCAATAAAACATGAACATGGGAATAAAGTGGTAGGAAAAACCCCAACCCACTGTGCACCAGGATGTCACCAGCCTGGTGGGTCTGTGCTGAACAGAGTAACACAGGCACAGGGAGATCCTGCAGGTCACTGTGAACTGTTCCTGTTTGCCATTTTGATTTATAGAGGCCAATTCTGACTACTCAAAAAGAGAAGGTGAAGAGAGGCAGGTAAAGAAATACTGCATGAAATGGTATTCCAAGTATGCTATAAAGGAAATCAGTTCAGGCTACCAGAGTCATGAGACTGTTTAACCTGGCTCTCAAGGGATCTGAGCCTGGATTAAAAGAAATTTTGTGCATGTGGCAGTATCTGGAGAGCTGAGATAACCAGAAGGCCTTTGACAACACAAGGAATTAAACCCCCTGAGCCTTTACCTCTTCTGCACAATCAAGTTGATGTTCCTCAGGGCAACATACTGAACTTCGGGCTCTCCAGACAGCAGAGTCACCAGAGGAGGGGCAAGTTTCTTCAGCAGCATGTTGTAATAGTCAGAGTCCTTGGGAAGGAGCTCCAGGAACTTCATCAGGACCTTCACTGCTGACAGCACCACTGCTGAGTTGGCGTGAGACAGCCGGGGGGTCACCCGCTCACAGATGCTGGGACAGAGGCACAAGAAAGGGTTCACATGGATTTCAGGGTGCCAAATATTTCAAATGTAAACTTAGGAGACAGCACATAGCTTCTCAGACACTGCTTGGATTTGGTTTTGTTCACAATGAATGGGCAAAGTCCTGTTTTCCTGAAAGCAGCAGGAAACAAACAGGGACTTCTCTCACAGCTTCAAGTTTCTCTCCTGCCACAGTCAGATCAGGAACAATTCCACACTTCCTGCTTTTTCCTGGTGGTATTTTCTATTTGTGTGATCTTGTCTGTCGCTTACAAACAAAACTTTAACAAAAACAGCTACTGGAAAAGCACTTTAGCCTCCATATAACCATTCAGAAGTGATACATGCTTCTGGCTTGCTTGGGGGTTGCTGTCACTTCAACAGAAAAAGATTTCTGTTCCTCTGAATACACAAGAAGAGAGTGACCTAAATATCCTCCCAAATCCCACTTGCCATAATGGATCCTGTAATCAAAGAGCATCCTAAACAGCCCATCCCAAAAAGAAAGGAAGTTTGGGTTCATATGGTCTTTCTTAGAGCATCTGTCAAGTTTCTTCCCACTCCCTCCTGCATATTGCTAACCCAGAACAATCTTATTCCCATCTGTGCCTCCTGAAGTTTCTTTTCCTGCAAGATTTGCTTTCAGCCATGCTGGAAAGGAAGCAGCACAGCTCAGTGAAGAGCAGAGAAATCCAAGTCAGGTTTAGAGCACCCCCAGCTGCCTCTGCCCAAGGCCACCTGCATGTGCCAGCTGCTTCCTCTCTCTGTGCCTCAGTTTCCCCATGCACAAGGGAGTGACACTCTGCTGGAAAGGAGGGAGGCTTTCCTAGTGCTGTCTGACTCCAGGAAATAAACTCCACACAAAGGAGCAAAAGGAGAAATCACTCTTCAGAGGAACTGCAGCTGAGGAGCTGGGACATGTTCACAGGTGCTCAGAGCAGTGGTTCCTCTGCCAGAGCTGGGATAACACCAGGCTCACACCCTGGAGAGCTCTGCAGGTTTCTAGCACTCATTAAGAGCTGCTTCTGGCACAGAAACAGAACACAAGAGAACAAAAAAAAAAAAAACCCAGCAAGACTAAAGGGAGGCTTCTTAGAAACAGTGCATCAAAAAGAGTCAATGCAGAAACCCATCAAATTCCAACTGGCCTGGCCAGGATTTTGTACGTGGGCTTGTGATCCTTCCTCCCCCTCCATCCCCACCTCAGCTGCATTAAATACATCATCTCAGAGTCTCCCTGTTCCAAGTTACTTTTCTGGCTGAATCCTTGTTTTCTTGGGAACACAATCTGGCTTTTTGTGATTCTGGAGACAGATGAGGAAGAGGCTTGAAGTGCACAAACTAACAGCCCACTACCCAAACCCTAAAGTCTTTCTATATAGGTTTAGTCATTGCAGTTAAAGGTAAAAGCACAAAGGTGAATTTGGAACAGTAAGAAAGATAATCTCTTACCTTTATTTTCACTTCTATCATATCACAGACTAGTTTTCAGTTGGAAATTATTCCAGACCTGCAGTACTTTAGAAACCCACAAACCTATAAAGGCTTCTTGCCTCTCAAAGCAGCAAAACCAAATAGGAAAGCTCTGCTTTAAACCAGAAAATCCTCCAAACACTGCTTCCACTGTTACAGGTTTGGTCTTGGGCTGATCCCTTCTTAGTAGTGTCAGTCCCCATAAGAACCAGGCTTTTAAATAGAAAATAAAATTTAAAAATATAAACAGAGAAAATAGTTCTGCAGAGGGAAGGGGCAGGATTCCAACATCAACCCCAGCTACCAAAAGTAGCTTTGCTTTTAAATCTAGTTTATCAAGTCTTATTTGTGCTGCCACAGTGCCCTGTTACCAGAAGTGCTTCCAGAGCTGCACCACCCCCAGCAGCCCCCAAGTGCCACCAAAAAGCCACCGCACCTCTGAGCTTCCCGGTCATCCTTGGGGTTGTAGTTGGACAGACAGTCCAGGATGAAGATCTGCCCCCACTCTGTGCACTCATTTAAAGCTGTCAGCAGCTTGTTGATGTTCTGAGGGTTCAGATCCAGCAGGTTGCTGTTGGGGTGGGACTCGCTGATCTCCGACAGCGCGGCCACGGCGTTCGCAACCACCTGGGGGAAGAAGAGCTCCTTGTCAGCAGAGCAGGAGGGGCTGGGGACACACAGGGAGCAAACTGGAGCTCCATCAGCTGCCACAGCAGTTATCTGAGCCTTCAGATATGTGAGGGATGCAGCACAACCTCACAACCAACCTGCAGAGCCCAAAGCTTCACTGGGAGGAAAAGGAACCCAGGACAAGGACAAGAGACTTTGTGGCACCCACAGGGAACATCACCCCCCTGCCTCCCTGCAGGCTCCACATCCTCCCCCAGCTCCAGGGGATGCTCAGCTTTACAGTCAGGGTGCCCAAACCTCCAGTTGGTTGCCCTATTTATTCAGGAATGTGTGCCTCTTGCCCAATTTCCCCATGGCACATGGCTTAGCAGTGATCCAGAAATGAGCTGGCAGGTGCCTGGCAGGCTCCAGCTCTGCAGCAGCACTGGCAGGTCACACAGTTTGAGAGCAAACAAACCATTTCTCTAAAATGGGCAACTCCTGCTAAATGTTTAATAACCTATATTTCAATTTCAGTCTCCAGAACATCCTTTTTGGCTTTATGGAGCCATGGTAAAGCAAGCACTCCAGCACAACTCATCCCTGAAAATATTCCTGCTGCATTTAGGACTATATAAGGTCTTCTCTTTTTTAAGCACAGATGAAACGAAGCACAGAGAGGAGGTCCAGGGTCCAGATTGACACAAATAGAAGTGGGAGTGCAGCAGAAATTTCTAACTCTTAATTCCATACCCAAATTCAACAGTTATTCCAACAGACTCCATGGGAAGATTTTTTTTAAATAGAAGAACTGCAGAATATAGAGACAAAATAGAAAATTTGCAGATGAGACTAAAGTCTTATTTGTTAAACTAACAGGAAAAGGGATTTAAGCAGAGTTTGACACAGAAAATGAAATCCCCTATGAAAAGGTATTTTCAGGACATTTTACAATGGACGTCATGTCCAGCCCAACTCCCAATAAATACCTGCTCAAATGAAGATTTATGGTGTTATTTTCTATGAGATTAAGGCAAAGAAACATCTTATCTAAAATCATCTGATTGTCTGGGTGGCTGAAGATGCTTTTGATGCAGTACAATGAAAACAAGAACAGCACAACCAGAACTTTCCCTGCCTTGTTCCCATCCCTGCTTGTCATTAAACCAATATATTCCAAAGTCATTGCACAGGCACAGTAATGTTGATTGTTCTGCATTTCACACCTAGAGGTCAGAGATAGGATTTTGATCCAAGATTTTATGAATTTCATTAGTTGAATGAGCCTTCTGTCACCAAAATCATTAGCAATCAGAGCTGCTGTCTTCTTGTACTGTTTTAATGAGGAACTTATTAAGATAGGCTGCTTATCCTCCTCATTATTTAATTTGCCTAATTCCTGAATGGTTAATGTGACACAGCATAAAACTGAAGTAAAAGATTTTTAGTATCATTGTATTTTTGAAGTTAGCAGTGAAGACATATCACAAAAGCCACTGAAAAGTTCAAAATCCTTACAAAAATTGCTTATAAAATGATGGTACTTTGGGAAAAAAAAATTTGAATTGACAAAAAAAAAATTACACAGCCAAAGCATCAGAGAAAGGGACCTGTCAGTCATACAGAGGGACAGGAGCTCTGGCAACTGCACTCACACTGCCAGCCACTTTGTTGCAGTAATTGATAAATTAGTAACTAAGAGAGAATTTTAGAATAGAACTGAGACTGGAAAAGAACTCCAAAATCACTGAATCCAACCATTAACCCAGTACTGCTAAACCCACCACTGAATCATGTCCCCAGGTGCCATATTCAGATATTTTTGGGCACTTCCAGGATGTCCTAAACCCTGTGCTCGTATTCCCTTCCTTGCAGGGTCCATGGAGTCCATCTCTGTGTTTGCCAAGGGCAGAGGATGCACAGAAATTCTGCTCCCATGGGTGGAGAGCAGCAGCTCCAGCCCAGAGACCAAACTGAAAACGAACTTTTGGGTCCCTGTCAGCAGAAATGCAAGTGTCCAGCTCAAAGCTGAGGATGGGACAGCACGTGGCAGTCCACTCATCATTCCGTTCAAAGCATCCATGAGGAAGTGGCAGAAGGTCAGATGGGCTCAGGGACATGGGCTGTGTTCTCCTTGAGTGTTAAAAAAAGGACTGGGAGGGGTTGTGGAACAGCTCAGTCCTGCCAGAGGAGCTGGGATCTACAATCTGCAGTCCACAATTAAAGCTGGTCCTCAGCTCCCACCTCAGCACCAGGGACAAGGAGATAACTGAAGCCAAGGGGATAAGGGAAAGGGTGGGGAATAAATGCAAACTTCAAACAATATTTATTAAAAAAAGGACTTGCTGGCGATTTGCACTGAACATATTGATGTGTTATGGTGTTGTGCTATGCCAACAAAAACAATCAGCATCTTCAAGGCTTTTCACACAGCCCCAGCACAGCTGAAATACAAACAGCTCTCAGGAAACAGTCCAACACAAACACTGGCTGGAGCACAGCCTCACCTCTTCCCTGGCACTGCCAGTGCCTCAGGCAGCACCAGGAACACAGAGCAGCACTGCACAATTCCAGCACACAGCTCCTGCTCTGCCAACTGCTCCCACCAAGTGAGAGGTCAGGCCAAGGACTGCAGCATCCCCCACACTAAGAGTTCTCACTCAGGCATGGCAGAAAGTCCACAAAGAACCACTCGGTACCAATTCTGGTGCTACATCACCTGCTAACCCACTGTGTGCTCTGGCACTCATGGAAGTGCCACTGGAAATATTTAGAAAGATGGGTTTTGGCCAAAAAAAAATCTGCAACATCAAAGCTGAACCTTAAGTCTTCAGCTCAGTTAACACTTCTTCCTTAACACAGCAACGCAACATCAGGAAGCCCAACTACATTAAACAGCAAGAACAAAGTGCTCAGTTACAAGAAGTTATTTTCTCTTTAAAATAAAAAATCACGGAATTGCTGGGGGACATAGAAGTAAGCTAAAGTTTACAAATGGTATAGGACCAAGGAACTAGACAAGTCTCACAGGCTGACTGCAAAAACCCCTAAGTTTCTTTAGGAAACAAAGTGTTCTCTGCTTTTCAAAACATGCCCCATGTTCATTTTGATGAGAAACCAACCAGTTGTACACTTTATTCCATAGACTGGAAGAAGCAGACTTAAAGTACATAAAACTAACAGCTGGTGTAGTATTGAGTTCTCAAAAATAATGAAAAAACAGAAGTCAACTGAGTAGCCACAGATATGGAAGCATAAACAGCTAATGAACAGAAACAGCTTTTAAAATTCCAAGTTAACTCCATTGGAAAATGCCTCATTTGACTCACAATTAAGAATACTAACTTTAAGCTAAGAGCTACCAAATTATGATCTGCCTAAAAATCCCCCAGAAAATGAAAATGCAGAGCAGATTGAAGAATTAATAATACTTAATAACAATAACAGGTCCCTGGCTGGCTGATGTAAATGAGTTTACCCTGGGTACACAATGACATTATTCAAATGCAGCCACAGCAACATCCCTTTGGAGCATGGATGAGCTGAATGACAATAAATCTCCTTTTGGCTGGAGGAATTTTGACAAATTTGAAGGAATTTATTGGAGGAAATTTATTGGAATTTATTGACAAATTTGGAAGAATTTATTGAATTTCCCAATAAATTTAGGTTCTTGGAGAAGCCTAAATTGGGATGAGGATAATCAAAACCTCCCAGGCTCTTATTAAAAAATTTAAAAAGAAAAACAAACTAAAAAGAAACCAAGCCCAAACCTCTTCCACTCAAATCTACATCCCAGCTTTAAGAAGAACCCAACAGTTTTAAATCCACCTCCAGACAAACTCCCTGTGCAGCCAGGCAGACCAGAGCTGACCTCGAGGGAAGCTGCAGAGGTAGGAGCTCTGTGATTTCCAAGTGATTCCTTCTGGCAGCTCAAACCTCCAGCTCAGAGCAAATGGTATCAAACAGCACCAGGGAGGGAAGGGGGTGGCTGAAAAGCTGCATGTCTGCCTGGCAGCCCACACAGAAAAGCTTTGCAGGGGCTGGGGGGACAGGAGGGAAGCTCGGCGCATCCAGAACGCCAACCAGTCAAAGCAATCAGATTATTTCCCTAGCATCCCAAGCTAATTGGAAATTAAACCAAGTGTGTAATGGAGTTAATGAAATACAACGTTCTGCTGCTTGAAACAGGAACCTCTGGCTCGCCATGCCGTTAAAGTGAAGCAAAAATGAAGAAAAGGAGGAAAAATGAAGGGGCTCAGAGAAGGTGCTGAGGGAAGGCAGCGCTCCCTCCACAGCTGGAGGCTCCTGCCCTCAAGGGAGCCTCAAGGCTGCAGGAGATGATTCTGGGAGTGGAGAGGTGCTGGCATTTCAAAGAGCACTCTGGGCCTGCAGGGAACATCCGTGCCATCGAGCACAGGCTCCCAGGTGGGAGATTCAGAGCATCCTTGGATGGGTGGTTCACAGGGCCACTCATTTTTGTGACCACACTGTGTGCCCAGAATGTCCCTAACAGGGGCTCTCCAGAGAACATGACACCTCATCCTGTTCACTTTCATCTCCAAGCCCTCCTCACTTTGCTTCCCTAGAAACAGGAACCATTCCCCAGCCCAGGAACCATTAACATTTCTTACTTTAACGAAGTAATTCTTCCCTGTGAGGGTGGTGAGGCCTTGGCACAGGTTGCCCAGAGAAGCTGTGGCTGCCCCATCCCTGGAGGTGCTGAATGGGGCTTGGAGCAATATGGGATAGTGGAAGGTGTCCCTGATCATGGCAGGGGATGGAACAAATTGAGCATTAAGGTCCCACCCAACCCCAACCCTTCTGTGATTCAATGATTCCATGAAATGGCTCAGCCATGCAAGTCAGAGAGCCTCACCAGCCTCTCACACTGCCAATGCTTGTTTGTATGTATAGATATAATTTAAAGCTCTGGGAGATTCACACATTCCCAGCTCCTGATCACATCCCAAAAGCTGCCTGGGTGGGGAAGACCTCCTGGCTTGCTTTTGCAAGTG